AATGGAAGAATCTAAGCTGTTTTTTATACAGTAAATCACAGGTATCCTTTGTTGATTTTCAGCTGTGTCCCTTGCACACAGAGATTTCCTCAGTTAGTCTTTTGATGTCGAGTTCTGCAGATGATGGAATATCAAAGGTTTTCATGCAGATAAACTTTATTCGTGAATTGCTTCCAATTTCCTAGATGCAGTATTGTTGCTGAATAAACCTCCATCTTTTTTGCACTCCTGGAAGACTCTTCAAAGGTGCTTTTCATACCCATCATGTCGTTGACCTATTGCCTATTGACCTGTTACACCATATTTCAACACCTGGTTTTTAAGTATGACTGATTCTTCCAGCTGTTTGTTGCAAGTATCCTTCTTTTTTTTACATCGTGGCCATCCAATTTAAGTAGATCATAATGATCTGTGCTGATGGGATATTTCACCACTATGACCAATCCCATCCTTCCCCCTCCATAAATTTGGGTCTTTGGTGTAAATGTGGTCAATTTACACATTAAAGTAATTAATATAATCTCTGCTTCCAGAGAGTAAACACCCTCTCTGTATAATCAATAATACTAATGAATACCAATAAAAAACTGTGTCAAGGGAATATAAATAATTAACATATTCCTTTCAAATAACTGGACCACCTTCAGAAAATGAAAAAAATTCCATTCTCCTGAGGTAAAAATTGCAAATTTGTCACCTCTGTGGGAATTCTTCTGTTGTTAGGATGAGGTGAGGAAGAATATTACATCTGACAGGAGCTAGGTGTGTTGAAGCTATTGCGATGGGAACTTCAGTTAAAGCATGGCAAAGGGGATGGATGCAATATGTAGAGTATCTTTTATGGACGGTTTTATCACACATAAGGATGTATTTGGGGGATGTTGTGTGCATGTCTCTTAGTGTGTGTGTGTGTGCATACATAGTGTAAATGTGGATGCATTTGATGAAAACAAAATGCAGAATAACAGAGCCCCACAGTGTTGTTGTTAAAGTGGTGTTTTATTGATTAAAAGCTTTTGTCAAAATCTTGGATCTTGCGTGGATGTATTCAGCACAGTTTCTTTCCATGCCTTGTTTTTGCCCCCATTTTAATGCACCCAGATTTAGCTCGGTTTCATCCGCTAATCCTTCTGTTTTGTTAGTGACACTGGGAGAACAGCCCGGTCTGTGTGGCTCAGCACTGCCTGTCAAAGCCTATAACATCTCACACCAGGATCAGGTTATTGCCTTAGTCCTGTGTGTCTTTATATTGAATTGCATCTGTTAGAGCGCTCTGGCGTCGTGTTGGTTCATCCATACCAGTATGAGTGTGTGTGTGCTTGCAAGCGCACATGTTTGATTATGTTGTTACTGTACATGGCTTACGTGTCTCTAACTAAGGGAATGTGACATACAAAAGTGGATGTAACAATTGCCTTTTTTGACCTCAAATTTCATATGGCCCCCTTGTGTCTCTTCCATCCAACTGCTGCTTCTCCAACATATCGCCACTGTGGGGTGATAGATGGGGAGAGAGACACAGCGGATGTTAAAGTTTGTGAGGCATAGACAGACAGCTCTGCATGAATATAGGCTGCACAGACTAACTGCTGGGAATTGGATGAGGCAGAGCGAGGGAGGCGTCAGCACTTTCCTCCCTTGCATTTTCACTCAGCCAGATTGAGTCTTATTATCTGACCATGGTCCTCTTCCCTCAGTGACCTAATAATATTGTTTCAGCGATCCTGTCCAGCCTCTGACCTCATGACTTTACACAGGAATGTGTGAGATGAAAAGAAAGAAGACTTGTAGCTTTGGAAATTCTGCTTCTTTCATGGCCATGTTTTAATTATTGGGGCCATTGACTGTAAAAGAATACAAGGGAAAATATTCACCATGATAATGAAATTTAATTGAACTGCTTAATTTTGTATATTAAATCATGGTGTTTTATGATTAAATTCACAAAATACATCAATGTGCTATTTTTTTTTCATAAAAGACATGAGCATACATTGTCTGTTAAAATTACAATGAAATAAACCGGTGATTTTAATCTACAATACACATAGATGGTACAGCACACAGAAAACAATAACGATCTAATATATTAAAAATGGCCATAAAAATGTCTGAGTAAAAAAAAAAAAACTGCCAGGATTTAAACTTCCTTGTGGACATTTGGACACCAATGCTAATATACAAACTGGTTAACAACATGTAATATATCATGTTGTTAACTTGTAGTTTATGTACCTTTGATTCATACTGGCTACATACTGCCATCAAATGTATTTCTGTTGACACATCCCACTCAAAGCTGGGACCCTCCCTGTGTATTGTTTTCAAGTTTGCAAGTTATTGAGACAGAATGAGAGGATTGTACTTGATGCATCTGTAAACCAGCATAGGATGTTGTGACATTCTGAATCAACATATCACAAACTGACACTTGACTTATAACCTTACCATAAAGTAGATACGGAACAACTTGGTATGAAATAGCATGCATAATATCTTAGCCATCGTCTATAAGCTTTATTGCTGTAAAGCAGCCATTTCCATCCACAAATGCACATTTCAGAAAACAATCACACCTTGGTTGTTGGAGCTAAAAGGAAATAAAAAGCACATTTTTACATTTATGAATTCAATTTTTTTTTGTTATTAGCTGTTACTGTTCACAGTTATATCACATGTGAGAGATGGATTTCTAGATCTAATATATAATTATTGAAAATATTGCAAGATAGTACAGTAAATGTAAAACATACTGCAATTTATAACACTGTAGCAGCAGCTTAGTGATATTTATCTTTGCAGTCTTCCTAAAGGTTACTACAATTGAATCACAATGATAAAGAGCCCCTGACTAACTGTAAGTGCCCTAATGCTGTATACTATCCACAAAGACGTATGTATTATCTCTTCAACAATTCCTTTGTTTTGGTCATCAACTGGGGTTACTAGCAGAATCAAAGTCGCAATATCTGTGAATTAACAAGGATATGCACGAGCTTGTTAGGCAGCTGAGGTAAACGTGGGAGATTTGAGAAATAATCCCTTTCCAATCTGGACACCACAGCTGGTTGTTTCAAGCCTCTCTGTCCTTCCTAATACATATGTACACATTTGCAATAACACACATGCTCAACTCTGAACGCCATGCATGAATAGCAACACAGGACTGGATATTCATGGGAACAGCCAGGAATATGCTGGTGTATTTGATTGTTTTTTTTCTTTTTTTGTAAATCTCACTTAATTCCTCACAAATGTACAAACAAATGCTCTGGTTTCTCTTGGTCCACAAGTCAGACAAAACACAGCAACTTGAGAAACTTGCATGCAGCAGGACAAGTCCTGTCCCTACTAAGACTTTATAATAACAACTTTTTGGATAAAGGGATCAGGCAACCACCACCGAGTTTTGAGAGTTATCTTATCTCTGTTTGCTTGTGTTATTGTATTGAAGCTTGTAATTGTCATCTCTGGTTTCTGGTGATGCATGCTCACAGTTTGCAGTCCCTGTTAAATCTCATTCTTCTGGGGTAGACTGGGAGCCAGATTGGCTAAGGGGGGAAAAAAAACATGTTGACCTTGTCTACAGATTTAGAACACAGAGGCATCAGTGATATGGCAGCTGTACTGTGGCAGGCAGCAGAAGCCTGAGCTCCATTCATATGATCAGCTCAGATGGCTTTAGTTAATGCCAAAGCAAATGTAATACTCTTCACTCAATGCACCAAGACAATTTTGGAAAGTTGTGTTGCAGGCTTCAGTTTTCTTTAAGGGCTACTGAGACCCGATCTTTGGGTTTTACAACTAACCTCTTGACATCTCCTGTCTACCTGCCTACCATTGAGCTACTGACTGCAAGCTGTCATTTTCGTTTTTTAATGAACTGTGTTTTTCTAAAATGTCACTAAATCTAAGCATCCACCTTGCTTGTGGCAGCCGAGATCATTTGGGCATCGTCTTGCCTCTGCGCAAATACAGCACACACCCACAGGGATGCACACAAACTCCAATTTACAAACACGTCACTTACAATCTGGTTCCTACTCCACATTTCCGAATCAGTCCCCTGGAGTTGACCTCATCTTTCCCTTTTCCACACATTGTGCTGCTTTTCACTACTGTCCTCATTGCTTTCTTTGATTAATCTTCCTGCTTGTTTTCCCTGGCGCATGAGTCTGACTCAGTAGACTTCCTGTTGGGTTTCAAAACAACTCTTCTTGCCAGCCTTCCTTCCGCCCATCTCCCCTTTTCCCCGCTCCTCCCACTTATTCTATTCTTCACTCTGCAACCCTTTTTATACTGTTTTTCTGCGTCCTTCCTCCGCCCGTTTCTTTGCTCCATTACCCCCCTCGTCTGTGTCCCCGTCATCTCTTCCTTTGCAAGTCCAACCTCCTGACATGAGTTCCTTTTCAGCCCTGCTGTACTGTATTTCCCTTCCTTTTTCTCTGCATCTCCTTTCTTGCCATTCATCTTCAGGTCCTCTGTCCATCTCCCACCCTCCCCTCAGCACATTCTCCCCCCCACCCCTTACTTTGTCTGGCAGTGGAGCCGCCCCACTCTTGCTGACAGTGCTGTTTGTATGATCTGAGTGCTCAGCTTCACAGCCCCCTCGCCTCCCATTGCGGCCCCCTCCGCCTCTCCTCCTCATCCTCCAGCATCTTCCATCCTCTCCTCTTGATTCCCACCTACATACCCCCCTTAGGCAGGGGAATTAACCTTCCAGCCCAGGGCTGCTGGGCTCTAATGACTGTCTGTGGGGCTGGCTTCCAGCACACAGCCCAGCTGCTAACAGCTGGCCCACACACACCCACTTGTGCTGCCTTTCCACAGGCACCAAAACATAAATTATGCACCCACAGAGTAGATGCAGGATGGTGGTAATGCGCAAAATGCATGATACAGTGATTGAATTTGTGCAACTTTGTTTTTTCTCATTTTGTGCAGGGACAAAATGGGGGCATTTCCCCCCCCCCCCCCCCGTTCTAACCGACAGTGGTTGGATGGTCGTACTGCAGACCCGGCCCATAGCGGCACAACAGATGCAGCAGTGCAGGTACCTCAGTGTGAGCATAGCAGGTCCACTAAGTCAGCAAAGAGCCACATCACAAGCATAGACTATCAGAAGATCAACTGAAAGATAAATGCAGAGGAAAAATAAACATGACCTTTAAGTTTCCATGTCAAAAGAGCTCTCAGTATATTCCACTGAGCAAATGGTCTCCGGTCACCATTCAGATGGAAGCATATAATTGACAAAAGGGGTAGAGGGAAATTATTCAGGAAAAAAAACACTTGCTCAGCTCTACAGTGGCGCAGATCAACCTAGTGGTATTCAGTATAGAAAGAAATGTTATGTGGATTCCTTTCCAGTCTCAATTCCATTCATTATGCATGAGAATAAATGTTACAAACCGGTAGCTGTGAAGACATCCATGTTGCATTTGGATCTTGGAGGGCTGTTCTGCTTTCTTCAACTCAGCACAGTGTAATGCTAAATAATGGGAACCATGAATACTGCACAAGACAGAATTTGAAGAAACTGCAGCCAAGTCCTCTACTTCCTGGCTCACCTACAGCTTTACTAATATTTTATATTGCTATTTCTATTTCGATAAAAGTCCTTCTTATTTTTGAGAGGTCAGTTATATCAGAGTAGCTGTATTCATACATTTTTATTAAATCTTGTTGTTATACTGATCTATTTGTTCCCATTAAGGAATGCCACCCACATTTCTCACATACACGCCTTCATTCTTCTGTGTGTACCACTGTTTTTCTACCACTCCTATTCTATATGCCTCTGTCTTAGACTATGGAGTGAGAGAGGAGGGAGTCCCACTGGCATTCTTCAACACCTTTGTTGCTCACTAGTGTTCAGAGAGCCATCTGTAGATCGGGAAGACAAAAAGACGCTCCTGAGCATTGGTGTCACTCAACAGGTAAGCCATCGCTTTTTTCACTCATGCAAATTCACACAACGACTCAAAGGGTTTTTTAAAGATCTTTCTCCTTTAAAAAAGGTGGAACACGTTCAATGTGTGTGTGTGCCTCCCGGTTTCTTTCAGTGCACTCTAGGAAGGCAGATATGCTTGAGTTGGTAGATGTTGAAAGGAGGTTTTGCATTTTTGTCTCAACTTTTTCCAGGGGAGAGCAGTTGTGCTAGCATGTGGAGCAGAGTCATTGCAATCTAGTAAACATCAACATTTTCAGCTGAAGGCATTGGAAACGATGCACACCAACTCCTTAAGTGGGTCTCTTTTTAAGTTTCTGAAGTGCTCTGGGCTTGGCTGATATTGTGCTGTGGAAATCCTGACCGGTCCTGCTTTAACAATCTATGTGAAAAGGCACGTTCAATTATTTGAGTGCAATTACATTCTGTTGGTAATCTAATCTGCATCGTTCAAAAACCCCATTTTGATAGCAGTTAGCGTTAGGCCACAACCTATGGCCTCTATGAGTTGACTCACTGGCAACTAATGAGATTGGTAAGAGTTAAGGGTGGCATTAACATGTTGAGCCGAGACTGAATTGGATGCCTGCATGAAGAATAAAAATTGGCTTTCTGCACATTGGCTGATTTCAGGAGGTTTCAGGTTAAACTGGTCACATTGAGTGTAGTGAATTGTTTGATGATGTTATGAAAGATACTATTAAAAATCTACCTGTCGCAGTCACTCTGAAGGGTTCAGCTCCCTTTAGTGTCCTTGCAGGGAGAATGGCGACCTTTTTACCGAGAGAAAATCACATTTCAAATCAAACTTTGTAATTTGCATTTGTAAGGAGCCAGTGAAGAACAAGGTCAAAACTACCTGTGGCAATGAGAGCTACTGTAGTAGAAAAAAAAGTCTCCTTTTATATCTATAGAAAAATTATACAGTATTTTTACTGATGTTAATGTTCGAATGGCGTGTTTCACTTATTCCACAAATATTACACCAGTCCAGACTCCTCATACAGAGGCAACAAACATGTATAATTTAATGAGCATTCTCAGGCCTGGCTGTATTTTTAAAGCAATTAAGGAGGTTGTTTAACTAGGTAATGGGAATGTGGGGCGGTCAGGCAGGCTGTGTCTGCTTTCATTAAGAGTCCCAATGAAAACGGTGACTCATGAGGCCAGCAGCGACCTTTTCTGTGTTGGACTAACATTTCTCTTCCTCACAGTAAATGCTTGATGTTTGAGCTCTAAATCCCAGAGGAGGAAATGGAATTTTGGCTTCTTTAATCGCATTGCAGACAAAGAAGGAAATCCTTTGCTTATTATCAAGAGATAGAGCACCGTAGAGTACAAGAGATATCAGATTAAAAAATAAATTCGGCATTTGGAAGGTAAAGACTGTTGTCTTTGAGTTAAAGTACATGAAGCAGAGATAAAGAGAAGATTGGCATTTTCAACTCCTCAAAATAAATGCTGTTGACTGAGGATGGAAATAATTGGCCTTGTGTGTTAAAAAGAGTATACTGGGGACTCAGAGATGCACAAATGTTTTGAGAGTGAAAAAAAATTGAGTGTGAGTTAATTCTTATCAAAGCCTGTTGGAGTGCAACTAATCGACTGGTGGGGGTGACGCGTCAAAAAGCGGTTGCCTCCAAATCATTTAGTCTATTCAAATGAGAAAATATTTACTTTTCAATTAAGTAAATCGCTATTATTTGTTCCACCCTTGCAGCAGATAAAGAGAAGTGATTATGCTGCGACTTACAATCCACAGCATTTTTCCAGGTCAAGTAAGTCAGTGTGTGCCCATAATTTTGGATCCAAGAGATACAAATAATTCATCTATAGTAGTTACAGGAATGAGCCATGCTCCCAAAAGAAAATGATGCATGTATTTTTAGTCATCCAGTAAAAACTGACCATTCTATAGAGACATTTTCAGTATTTTCAGGTTTTATGAGAATTATAGCAACTCACCAGAGGTTTGTGAGCCATAAAACTATGTGATTCTCACTTATTCTTTTACATTGACTTTTGGTAAGCACATTCACAATCCAAAAACTAACCTTGAACAACCGGAGGTTTGAAGTTGTGGTTATAGTTAGACAAACTGTGTTTCTGTATCTTTTGGAAAACTGAGAGGTTTCTCTTGGGCAAATCTCTTCATATTTCAATTCATTCGGTTTCTTCTCATTGAAGTGTCCTTCAAACAGCATTTGTGAGGAAATTTACTTTTTTGCCCTGAATCTATGTAATACTTTGCTTTACAATGTTAACTGATCTAGTAAAGTAGAAGACAGCAGAAATGATGTAAGAAGCCACTTGGATACAACAATTTATTACAAATCCATACAAAAGCCTGATTTCAAAATCATCTTTCATTCAAAAAGCCTTTTTACATCCTTAATTAAAAAGACAAGACGTCAAATGTTTTTGTTGGAATTGATTAGCTAATTGTATTGTTTTTCAAGTGAAAAATTATGCTGGCAGCCTATTTCTGAAAAACTGCAGGAGCCGGACGCTCACTGTGCTACATTACCTCCTCTGTGCCCAGCACTCTGTGTTTGGGATCTGAGGAGACTAATTGCTTTTTTTTTTTAGAGCATTCTGTTTTTATTCTTTTTTATACAAGATTGCAGTCGTTCAATCACTTGGAGCCATGCTTGTTGTTTTTTAGATTTTGTAAAACATAGCAGTGTTTTAATTGTTTTAATTAACAAAAGATGTGGCAGATCAGTTTAGTACCTAGTCTCTTTACCATTACATGCAGAATGTGGTTTGGCATTGCCTTACTGAAATAAACAAGATCCGCAAAATAAAATGTCTGTATAGCAGCATTCATTCCTCCAAAATACAAACAGTCACTCAGCATTAGTGATGCATTTCACAGATAGCAAATTCCCTTCTGATCCCAGCCCAGTGACGCTCATCCCAAAACTATAACGTCCTTATGCGAGTGAAACTACTTTTTTTGTTTTTTGTTTTTTTAAGTATCCATGGCAGTGATGACAGTAATGTATTTTTTACCTAATTATAATCTCTTTTCATAGTTGTGACAGATCATTTGTTGGCCTTGATCGCACATAATGTCTAACATCGCTGTCATAGCTCCATCCAACCGTCCCTTCCATTTCTGCACTAAATGAATGAATAAAAAGACATACAGTGGTTAAGTTTTGAATCATCAGAGTTTTTTCAAGAGAGCAGAACACAAAACCAGCCCTTTGAAACTTTCTTTGGAAAGATGGCTGCAGTCTACATTACGGTAGAGCTCCAGGGTGTCATTAAGGTATGACACTGCTAGTTTGCTGGCCTGGGGTTTGCACTTGTGTAAGCTTAATATGTCTGTAATTTTGTTTGTTTGTTTGTTTGTTTAGGCTCTTCCAGGGTTGTTCAAGGTCTGGTGTCAGTGGTGAAATGGAGTTCTTGTCAGCATGGATTGTGTCTCCTTCAACTCTACCCTTTCTGTGTCTCATTTCGGGTAAGAGAGTCAAATGTCATCACGGAGCTTTCATCACACTAACTGTGGCCTTTTCAAGTCCCATACATGTTCAGGACAGTCGGCTGTGTCCTGGGAGCCTTGAAATTAAATTTTCACTTTCACATAATAGCTACTGTGCATTGCAAGTAACCTTTTTTTATATCTGGGTCACATACCGGTTTTAAGATATTTCTGCTCTGCACTTGCCTGATCCTTATCTGAATAATTTGACTCCTTGCTCATTTTTCTCCTTGAATCGTCCAAGGCAACAAATCACCAGTTAGAAAAATTAGACGGTGATAAGGACTTCAGGGCACCATTCATCAAATAAACAGTATCTCAGGTTGAAAGCAAGTGTTGATTAAAGCGTGTGTTATTTTAGGCCAGATAATTGAATATGATTATTACCTTCACTGTATTATAAATGTTGACTTCTCTTACATGGTTGCCGTTCAGTAAGGTTGTAATGGGAACTGTATACTAATGTACCTGTCACTAGAATGGTCACATATGTTTTTTTCATCTCTCACATTGTTCACTTTGAGATGATGAGAAAGGCATTTCTGCAGAAGTTTCCATGGTGATCAGTGTCTCAACATTCAGTTCACAAGACTCAGTAAACCTATTCATAATTGATATATCATCAGCTGTGTAGAGGGGAATATTATCCTGCTGTATACATACATCATGTTCATATAGATTATTTCTTTATTATATTAAACCTTATTTCATACAAGAAAAACAAAACTCAAACAGAAATGTAACTCAGTCATCACAAGAAAATCTTAATAAACTATTTTGCAGCCACGCAAGAGAGCTCTATCTAATCCGAGGCACCGAGCACTACTGTTTATTCAGGATTATATTACCTGAGAGAAGAACAACATGTCTTTTCCTAACAATAAAACCAAGGGTATTTAATTTTTTTAGCTTAGAAAAATTCTTAAATTGGGAAAAAATCAACCTCCTTTTGTATTGATGTGTGATCCTTATGCTGTATATCAAAATGACATGTTACACTATTAGAATACGAATCAGGACATGTTCATTTACATCCAACTATTTTGCCTATGTTTGCTTATTCAGTCAGAAGAGTCAGAAAATGGCTTAAGTCCAATGTTGGGTTAGAGGTGGGGTGAACCTTTCATTAGTCCAGTCCTTCACGGAGCGAACACAAAGAAAATATTATGCCTTCCCAGTCTCATACCTACAGTGATTTTTCAATCACCACTAAACTGAACCGGCATGTCTTTGGTCTGATGAAGGAAACAAGAGCTCTTTTAGAAATCCCTTACAGGAAAAGGGAGAAGATGTAAACCCTGCAGTGGAGGTTTGAATAATAAGCCTTTTTGCTGTGAGGCAGCAATTCCAACCACTGCACCAAAGTGAGCCTCAGGTGGGTTAAACTGTAAACACAAAGTCAATAACTGTAGTGATTAAGAAAATAGAAATGAGCATTTTAAATGATTAGGGTTGCATTTATTTATTGCATAATATGATGCAGCATGCTCACAAGTAATTAGCAGAAAAAAACTATTATTAACTATGTAAATAAGTTTAGTTTTATTTAGGTTTTAAGCATGTGCTATAGCAGAAACTGAAATGATCTCCCAAATAGTACCTTCCCAGTGTCCTGTTATCTAACCATGCATTTAACAATTTAGGAGGAGCTTATTCCCCTCGGGGTTTGTGGAGGAAAAACACAGGAGAGGCTAAGAGAGAGCTGGACTTCAATCTTTATAAAAAATAAAAAAAACTCCAAATGAATGGTAATGTTAGCCTGTGTCAGCTGAGTGCATAATGAGGCAAATGTTTACTAAAACATTCTCCAAATCACATTTGGCGAATATGCGGGCATGAAATTAAACTAAAACCTAAGCTGAACAACTGCAGGATAATGGCCATCAGGAATAATATAACATGCGTCCCCTTCATTTAAGTTTATTAAGATAGTGTAAAGACATAAACATCATTGTTAGGCAAGATGACGAGGGGTAGAAAGAGGTTGTTTGTGGCCGCAAGCAGGAAACAACAAATGCATTCCTTGTTGAGGTATCAGTGTCTTTTACTTTTCTGATAAAAGGGTTTATATGTCCATGCTTAAGGGTAAAAGGAGTACAGGTTGTTCTGCAAGCAACACAGGGAGCATGCAAACAAAGGAGGCACTGGCAAATTTAACAATAAGAAATATAAGATTTTCTGAACTGATACAAAAGAGAGAAAAACACAGGACAAATTTAAATACAAATTAAAAACAAAACTATGGCACCAAGTGAAAATATTGTAAAGCATATAATGGGAAATGAATGCCGATAAGTAAGGCAAGGGAACTAATAAGCATACGAGCTGCTTTAAGAAATTCGAACTGATTAAGTAACAACCCCAAAGTTGAACTTAGATCAGACCAGAAGCGAAAATAAGTTACTAACCATACAAATCAAGTAATTAAAAAAGGATTAATTAAAAAAAAAAAACACAAGCAAACAGAAAAACTTTGGCTGCCCTCTAAAAGTCAATGAAAATGACTGTGTATTTTCCTTGAACATCTGACCTTGATTGAAAACATATTGAAGTCATAAAAATATGTCATGAAGAATTCATGAGGGCTAAATGAAAAATACAACCCTAGTGCTGTGAGATTCTGATTGCAATTGTACATAGAAATTGTAAGGGGATGGGGCATAAAAGATTTTTCAAATGGACATTATTTGGTCATTACAATGTATCTATAGCAGGTGTACAAAAGATACATCCCTTATAGTGCACATCACCTGGTTATATAGTTTGTTCTAAGTTTGTTTTCTTTCTTTTTTTTCACTGTGGAGCGGTGAGACCAACCACCACACGCTACAGATAAGGCCAGAACCTACATACTAAAATCTCTAAGTGACAGAAATTGAGCACTTTACTGGTTATGAATTCAACCAACCTAACCCTAATCTTTAGTTTTTACTTTGGGATGTGAAATTGCAGTCTGTTGACGGCATGTTGATATGATGTGACTTTCAACTCAGTATCAGAAGAATACAGCCATTTTGGATCATTGTTCAGTATTCATTTATGTTAAATGTATGCAAATATGCTCTGTATTTGGTTGTTTGTATGCATCCTCTGTAATGGCCAATCTTGCCCTTCATTTTTGACGTGAGGTGACTGGTTCAGCCTTGATCCAAAAGCTCTGCCACTCACTCATGTTGTCAGATGCAGCGGAGCATACACTTCACAAACAACTTGGTCACTGCTTCAATGAAGGTCAAAATTTGAGCAACCCAACGGACTCGGGCTGACTTCTCTGTGGAGCATTGTTTAAACGAGACTCATGCTTTGATATTAGGCACTAATTGGAGTAAGCATTTGCGCTACGCTCCTTGAACTGAATTTATTCATAAACTCCTGTGTATAATCACCACATAATCCTAGCTCCTGGAGTTAAGAGCTGACGGGTGGTCTGCTTTAAGGTTACCCTACTGATTCAAGTGCACTGAACCGCAAAATTTTTCCTTCACATCCTCGCTGAAGGATGGCCAATACCACCTATCACAAACAAGGGGGATTAAAGTGATAATCATTACTCTTCCCCAGAGGAATTAGCTTCTGGGACATTGACATTGAAGCAAAACCACAGGTGAACAAGATCTCTGATACGTCATGATTTTCCTTCCACTCCCTAAATCCTATCCTATGCATAGCCATGAGGAGATTTCATTTGCCGTAATCACTTTATTGACTCATTTTCTTTTCCGTATCACTGCAGTTTCACATCAATAAAACATATGCCAGGATGAATAATGTGGCCACACACAACAGGGTGCCTTCCCAAACAAAAGACCACAGGACTGCATCCCTGTGGTGTATGTTTATGTCTTCCTCACTCTTCTTCATTTATTTTCTTTATAACACTCCTCACACACTGAGTGCCCATTCCTTTCTATCTCTTTCCATCAACCACCTCCACATCCATTTTCTCCAAGACTCCAACTGCATCCACCCATCTGCCTTTTGTGCCTCCAGGCTTACAGGGCCAGCAGGCCTTCAGGTATGAGCCCAAGAATCTTACTATGCGAATGGGAGCCACAGTCGAGTTGAAGTGTGAAGTGCTGCGACCCTCAGGGACTGTGCAGTGGATGAAAGATGGCCTGGCATTGGGACCAGAGAGGAGCCTGCCAGGCTTTCCACGCTACAGCATGACTGGAAAACTCAAAGGTAAACAGTACTAATCCAAAAAATGGCACCTATCTGAAATTAAGTAGTGAGTTTGTATCTCAAATACACAATCAGGTTACCGGTAGATTTCATTGATATATATATTTTTTTAATATAGTTTAAATTAATTAATTAAAGAATATGGAAGTTTAAGATAATGTATGGGACAGAAAATTTAGCTATATAGCAATAAGATATTATGAGCAAGGAGAGGTAACACAACAATTGCTTGTAGATGAATCTCAGCTTTTTTTTCCATTTTTTGTAACATGTTCACGAAGTTAGGCTACTTTATTCATTGAAAAGTGAAAGAGATGTCTTTGTTGCTATGGCTTCAAAGGGCAATAATAAAGCACCAGAGACATTACAGGAACCTCATGGCTGTGGATAAAGAAAGCACATGCTGCTTTGTGATGACTGTCAACAGTATTTAACACACCCCCTTATCCTGTCAGTCACAAGTAAAGATGGGCAAAAAAAATAAATTAAAGCAACAGAAGTGTCATCTAATCAGTGATATGTGGCAGTGAATAAAGTGTGTTGCAGAATCTGCACCACAGTCTATAAAAAGTAATAGCCAATTAGAAGGCAATCCCGAGTAGGAGAGGAGCATCTGTTCCTGATCAGCCTGCAACAAGACGAGTCGCACTTCACTGTTGCTCAGTGAGGGAGACCGCCAATGACAAACACATCCTTAGGGATGCATAGCCCATGCACATATGTGCACATATTGTTAATGGACAGACTTTACTTTACAAAAAACATACATTAAACAGAAAGTTTTCTTACTTCCTTTTGTTAATTAGCTGTAAAAATGAGTGTATGGTAATTGTTACAGCAGGAACAGAACAAAAAACAAAGAAGAAGAAAAACCTGTCACCTTTTACTTCTTGAACACCAAAATGAGAAGCTGTACACATAAAGAATAAGGACCACAAGCACACACGGGCGGCCAAGCACTCATACACTCACTCATGAATGAAATACCCATTAGGGCAGGTACACTTTCCAGGAAAAGAAACTGCAGACTGCAGACTGATGTGTGCAATCACTTTACACAGCATAGAAAGAGCTAAATCATTTAGGATGACACTTGACTGCACTTGATAGGCCACCAGCTCTCACTGATTGTCACCTTCAGTGGTGTTTATGGGTGCTTAAAAAAGCCTAAAATCACACGTTCACAGACACAAAAGAGGCCAGCTTTGATTTCAACATACACTCAAAACAAACGCGGAACACCTAGTTTCCACCACCTGAAGAAGTGATGTTAATGTGGACTGAAGTGATTCTGAGTGTAGATCTATTGTACAAAGTTGTATGTAAAGAGTCTTATGTAAAGACTGATCTAGATAGACCCAACATAACATCTTTTCAAGGCTTTTTGAGGATTAAAAGTGACCTTTTGAATTATTTTTCAGAGCTTGGGCCAAAAGCAGTAATATGATTTTAGAATGTGACCTGAAGCTAGTCAATAAGAAAAAAATCAATTATTAATGAACACACAAATCATCATATTCTTCGCCATTCATATAATTGATATCAAGTCAATATTATGAATATTTTTAAACTGACACCATAATATTTCATAACAACAGAAAGATTCCCAAACCTTTTTTTCATGAAAAATAGTTTTTTTTAACCTTATTTAAAATATATAGTTACCTCATGAGTATGTACATTTGTACAAAGACAGAAAAAGAGAGTGATAAAGAGCTGTTAGCTGGTTCACAGCTGCCATGTTGTGTGATGTGAGTAGATACCTTACATCCACTTTAAGTGTTCAACTCATTCCACAATGACAATTCCATATAAGTAAAGATGCTACGTACTATGTGAATCTAAGAAAAATGAAACTATTTTTAGTTAATAGAAATATGTTTTATATGTAGAGAAACATAGAGGACATGTAAAATCTTGAAAGTGAGACATTTACTGTGATTCTCGGAATGATGATTTTCAAAATAAACTGTGAAGTCTATAGATATTCCTGCAGCGCATATTCCTATATCTGGGGAAATCTCTGCACACACGGGTATGTGGTCAAAAATAAACATTACATTACTTATTACACTTCCAAAAAGCGTTTTTGTTGAAGTGAGTTCATTGTGCCATCCAACAATTCAGTGTGGAATCTCTCTAATGCAAAAAAAAGCTGTATGTACACGCGATCAAACAATGTTTAACTCTGCTCTGAGGCAGAACTAATTTATAATGGACTAAGGGCATAAGGAAGATTTTCCATCAGATGAATCTAAATTTGAAATGCTCCTTTGGTTACAATCACCATGGATGCAGCATCCATGCAGAGGAGAGGTTCTATCTGCCCTCCTCAAAGTCTTTCATCTTCCACTGTATCTGGATGAACTGATGTATGCTGAACTGGAGGATTGCACATCTGGAGAGGCACCTTCAATACAGAAAGGTGTATTCAGGTGTTAAACAGAAAATGTTAAGCCACGCGCTGCAGCATGGCAGGAGAGGATTTCAAGTGCTGGACCAGCGTGCTTGCAATTCAGACTTCTCACTGGCTCAAAGCACCTGGTGCATCATGAAACACCAATAAAGGAGCCCCCAAACTGTGGAGCAGTGAGAATCCCAAACCAGGGAAGAACTGGACAGCCATCCTCTCAGCTATCAACTGGTCACTAAGATTTCTAGATATTCAGACAGCTGAATGAAGAAGAGGTGTTTTTATAGAGGGAAACATAACTTTTTCAGAATAAATTTCTGTTTTTGAATTAAAGGCAAATTGATTTTTTTCATGAAGAATTATTTACATCATTACCATACAAAAAATATTGTTTTATTTTGGTTAAATATGGGTTAAGAAGATTATAAGTAATTGCATTGTGTGCATTTCAACATTATCCTTCTACCAAATAATAGCTAAGAAAGATTTCCTTTTTTTAAATCACCAATTTAAAATCGGCAGATCAATTTATTTAGATGTCGTAGCTTGCATTATTGTTTTCAACCACAGGTATGCAACATTTGATTATTTTCCTTAATACCTAAGTAATAATAGATTTGTTACATAAAACCTGTGATGGACTGGCACCTTGTCCCTGCAGTATAGAAATTAGATGGATGGATGGATGGATGGATGGATGGATGGATGGATGGATGGATGGATGGATGGGCAGACAGACAAATGCAGAGCTTTTTTTCACAGCTCAAACAATGGCAGTATAGACATGCCCACATTAAAGTCTGGATAGATCTAATGCAGATTAGATAAATACAAAGTTATGGCCAAATAAGGAAATAACATTTCAGCCATCTGCCATCTGTCCCGACATAAACACTGTCTGCCACTTGATTGCGTTATTTCTGAAAAATTTTGGAAAAAAGGAATGTGATTAATAACTTCACTCTCTCTTTCTGTCAGTGTACTCAAAGATAACTTAGATGTGAAAATGGCTTCTGGTTGGTGTTAATTATCTTGCCAGCTTAGCCGACACATGCATTTTTAGGCCTGAGTGGTTGTCAGACCAAGATACTATTTTCCACATGTTTGTAGGCTGTGAGCCATCAGGAGCTGGAAAACCAACAGCGAGCATCATCTAATCCCCACAGGTTATGGCAGCGCATCAAACAAATCAAGCCCCCTTGGCATGCCACGCTATCAGAGGAGAGATGGAGAGTGAGGGACTGTGTCTGGCATCAATTAATAGACATTCAGTCAGTGTTCAGAATTAAGGATTGAATTTAATATACGACACTGGAAACTATTTGCAAAATAAAATGAATATGCAAATAACCTGCATGCCAATTTTAACGACTGCAGTGAGAAATTTCCATTGTCGAAGATGTTAGGGTGCTCAGAAGATTGTCTGTTTATGGCCCAATTAAATACCAGTGTGTCTTATACGTTTATAAATATTTACATATCCATTATTCAAAGAACAGGATTTTAGGAAGAACTGTGTGGCCTCCTGCTGGGGTAGTGATGTGATGTTGGAAGTATAGTTGTATCGAAGATAAACATGAAACTTTTGTTCATATTTCAGCATTTTTAGGGGAAACATGTGGCCTGTGTCCACATGGAGACTGATTACTGAAGAGTGAATGTTAAAATTGGATAAAGACATTTTCTTGGGGATACAGGTGCAATAGTTGTCACATATTTTTTTTATCACAACAAACATGCGTTAACATCTCTCTTTTTCTTTTCCAGGCAAGTACAATCTTAGGATTGAAAATGCCCAACTGGAGGATGAAGCCATGTATGAATGTCAAGCTGGCCCTTCAGAGACCAGTGAAGCTATTATCTCCAACACCGCCTTTGTCACAGTGCAAAGTAAGAGAAATTTTTTTTTTAATTTGTTTACAAAGTCAATGCAGACTCTTCTTTTTTTCATAGGTTCAAGATAACATGTTCTATACAGCACAGTGGGCATCCTCTGTACTCCAGTAACATACACAACCTCTTGGCCTGTAATCAGCATATAAAGAGGTGTTTAATATTCATTTCTATCGCTAAAGATCTTGAATTTGTTTAAGATAAGGCTGTTGCATTTGAAGCAGAGACTAGATTAAGTGTGTCCTTGTACAGTAAGGGCTCAACAGTTTCCCCTTAAGCACAATGGAGCCATAACAAATGTTAACATCTTTCTATATATCAGACAGTATGTTGCTATAACATAGTGACTTTAACCAGCAGCTGCAAGATGTAAAGTAGCTGTGCAGCCTAGATTCTCCAGCAAGCCCAAAGGCGATTCATGTCTCTTCCCTGCACAGAATAAATTACGACAGAGGTGATTGAAAAGTTCCTCTCAGACATGGACTGAAAATATGTAATTGTATCCTACACCGGACCACCTGTTGTCATTCTATAACAGGGAATATTACTCTCTCCCATACTTCTTGCTTGTGGGAGCAAGCCCATATGTGGTAAGTAGAGGACTCTAAAAGGACCTTTCTTCTCCAGCCACAGTTCATTTACTTCCACTACCCTCCCCATTCTCTCTGTCAAACAATTTCTCCCTCTCACGCTCTGGCTTTCTCTTTGGTGAACATGGTTGCCGGGGGAGGGGGGGGGGGCATTTCTAACAGCCTCTCTCTCTTCTGGGAAGAGAGCAGGTTTTTTTGACATCAATGGTCTGGCGGTAGGGTTGGTGGGTGGTGCGGGGTAGGGAGAGACGTGGATTGCAGACGTCTCTTTTATATTGCCGTGCTCTATTCTACAATGCAACAGTTTGGTGTCCTACAGCAGGCCTACACCTGCAGCCACAGCGGGCTTGACTCCCACATTTATAACCACTGAGAGGCCCATTGTGTGTGCACCCACAGACACAAAGTCAACACGACTACCTTTCACTTAGTCAAAAAGAGTGGAAATTATGTTCATGTTGAGTCTTAGAATTGTCTGATACATTGGGAAGGGGGTCCTGCCCCATATGACAGCAGGTCTTTTTAATAAGTGTTTCTTTTAGCTGTTCTTGAGCCATAGCGGTTGCAAAGAGTGATGGCTGAAGTGATGGACTTAAAACACTTTGGTCTAAAGGGTCATTTGTTCCACTCCAAAAAACCCAGTGATTCAAATGACATAATCTGGGGTTCGATAATGAGTTGATGAATTCAATCTCCTGTTAGTGCTGAACTGGGACTGGAAATTGTGCATCCTTTTTGAAGAGCCCCGTCTCTGATGAGTTTTCCAACAACTGCTTCATCAGGCGACTACAGCTCCCAAGGCCCCACACCCCTGACCAGTCATCCATGGCCATATCCCATCAAGCTCTGCATCAAATCAAAACACCATAAACTCTTTATGAGGAGCTACCATAGGAGAAATGGGAAATTTCTGAAAAACAAAACTGAGATGACTGGTTATAAAATTGGTATCATGACTTGTTAATTCAAATTTGGATCACCACAGGCAATAAATATCAGGCATAAAAAAAATTGTCAATAAGCTCCATCCATGGGCTTACAAAAAGAGGTTTTGAAGACATTTCCATTGCTGTAACATAACTCTTGTGTGTTTTTGCCTTCCTGTAGAGCTTAGATAGAGGATTACTGCTATAGGCAGATCAAATGGCAGTGAGTAATCCATGACAATAACAACCTCTACCCCCTCTACGGAAACCCCCCCTCTGCTAAAACTTACCCCGCACTGTGCTCGTCACCTACCTGACACATCCTCTGTCTCTGTTTATACTGTTAGCATTAGCATTTAATCCTATTAATGAACAACTGTCTCTTTTATAACACAGCATTCCTGCACAGATGTCTTCTGCAAATATTCCGAAATGTTCTTGATGTTTTCTGGTTTTAGACTGGGTTACTCATTCATTCGGGTCTTACTGAGATATGCATGTGCTTTTGAGTGCATCTGTGTAATAGCCCATGTGCATAAGCTTATTATCAGTGCTGGTTTGAGGTTAGGGGACATTTTAGGAACTGGGGCTATGGCAAGGTTTTGGGAGCAGCTAATGAGTTTAGCACTTGAAGAGTATATAATGAGCCTTCATTTTCTGATTCCCTGTAATGAATAATGGAACTACTTATAAATGGGGGCACAAGCAACATAGAATACCGCAACCTTATTCATCCAAGTTCATAAAGCTCTGATGGATAGTCAAATGGCTATGTGTTGTATGTGGGTGCGACAAGGTGGGTATACAGTGCCAAACTAATTACAGAGATTTTCCACTTATAGACTGTAACACTTAAAGAGTTATTTTCTCGTGTGAATGGATGGTTCAGGTACAAGAGCATTTTGTCCCTTCACACCCTGACTGAGCAGCTCTTCCTCCTTTGCGTATCTAATTTGACATGTTTCGATACATGTGGTAAGTTATGATACAAGGAAACAATATTTTTTTTAACACATTTATTCAATTTGACTTGGTGCCATCAGGTTCAGTTAGTTCACAATCAGGGTGCAAAGAAAAATGGTCCTGACATTGGTGTCAGCCTGCATATTGTTTGCCAAAAGCAATCAACCTTTGACTTTGTCCAACGAAAAAAAAAATGTTGTTAGGTTTAAGACAAAATCATCGTAACCTAAACAGCACATACCGATCATTACTTTTGTATGGTGTTGCACTCTTTTTGGGTTGATGTTGGTTTGACTGATTCCTAAGAGAAGATAGAAACTTGCTCCAAAAAGTATTTCACTGGCAAAGGTGTGACAAAGGATGGCAAAGTAAAGAATGAAGAGAAACAAGAAGTCTCCATTTTCTTTTCTTCTTCCTTGCTGTGAAGTGACGAAATCCTTGTGGTTGACCTTTCCTCTATTTGTTATGTATATAGCTAATGGTAGTTAGCCCTCACAATACCATCTCCACAAACTCACTTTCACCCTAGATTTTCAATCTTCTACTGTAAATCAAGCAATAGACTATGCTAAATTTGTATTAGTTCATTTTTGAAAATGGCCTAACAAGACATAGATGTTCATTATTGGAGGATTTAGGAGGAGATGGCCAAGAAAGGATGAAAGTAGGGGTTGGAGGGCTTTTTTTGTCTGGGCTCACACTTGATCTACCCGCCGACCTCTGAATAACAAACAGAAAAAAAGCACAATTCCAGTATCTTTCACTGCCAGAGATCAACACCTGAGCCTTCAATGTGTCTGTCTGCAGGAATGAGTGTGTCTTTTCATGCACCAATAACATCAAACTCTTGATCGCGTGCACAGAGGAGTTATATCTATCTGCTGTTGAGAAGTCAGATCTCTATTAGCTTCTAGTTTTTTCAGCTGAATTAATTTTTTTTAATACTGTTTATCACTTAGCTGATTTTTTTCAGGAAATCAGGTGAGCGTCACATGTAAGACCGTGTTCATACTGCTGCCTGTTTTCTGACCGAAGTGATACGAGCGTCCGCACATTTAACTCGCCTGTAACAGTATGGTTGAGCGTGCAAATATGCATGCACTGTTGAATCGAGTTTATCTCTTGGTGTTTGCATGCAAAGAAAGAAAGAGAGTCATTTGAATGATAGAGAGAAGGATAGGTGGAGAGAGCTGCTTATGTATATTGATGTGTGACTGCTAATCTGCTTCTTATCTCCCTTATCCATCCATCCGTCTTTATTTGTATAATGATTCAAATTCTGTACCTCAATGCTTGTCATCCGAACTGCAGAGACAAATCCTCGCCTGTCTATTTTTTGTTCATATATGTTGCTTAATGAGAGAGACAAAGTTGGAAAGGAGAGGCACAGAGTTTAGACGAATAACAAAAAAGCTGACAGCCAAGTAAACAAATAAGGGACACGAGGAGTTCATTCGGAATAAAGTAAGGAAGCAAATAAAGTTTGCTTCCTGTTCTTTTTCCTCTGAAAGCATGTCTAAATAAGATATATTGGAGAATCGTTTTTGTGTTCTTAGTTGAATTTGTTTTGTTTAAGTATTCTAACATTTATACTAATGCCAATATGAGCTCATCCTGGCTGGGCTGATTGGGTTACATTGTTTTTCCCAAGCAGATGTGATAGATGTTGGGTTGTAAGTCCCAGTCCAAGATGGAACACACCTTCCTCCGCACTTCTGCAGTAACTGCAGTGGTCAAGAAGGATAGCGTTCGGGGGAGGGGGGCGGGCTCAGGCTGCTAGCAGAGGATGATGAGTGAAAGAGAGACACAGCGAGGGGGCTGGCATGAGCAAGCCTGGAAAAAATTAGATACCTGTCTGCCTCATTTGAGAACATATCATTATTCTTATTTTAGGATTTGTTAGGCTGCCAGCCGCTCCTTGAGCACAACAAGTGATTTGCCTATGTGAATTGTATGGGCCTGAGTAGATTGAGAGTGCAGGGGTTGTCAATAGATGCATGGCCCAGTCATCTTATCAGAGCAGAGGGGGGAGAAACAAACAAATGCATCTCATTATTGCAGCGTGCGCCTCTGCAGTGCTTTGGGTAACCCATCAAAGTCCACACAGATTCAATTGCTTCTTTTAAATCAGTTTGAAGCTGCAGCCACATCTCATCTGTCTCAATAGCAGACTGGAGTCAGTGTGCGACTGTGCACACTGCAACAGCTCCTCCTAGTGGTCAGAAATTGATGGGAGCGAAAGTGGAGAATAGCGGTTGGATGGGTGACTCCTTTGTTTGAATGTGGTCCGGCTTTTATAGCCGTACATTCAGTTTATCCAAAAGTCAGCTGCCTCTGTCTCATTGTCCCTTAGCAGTCTGTCTGACCTTACTTTTCATTTGCCAATGTCTATATTTATTCGTTCGCTGTTTTTTTCATATCTTTCGTGCACACCAGTCTGAACTGACCAGCTCCCTGTTCTGTCTCAGCTGAGGCAGCCCCTGCACTCCAACTGTGATGGAAAAAAGCAACTTTCACTGTCCCATGCCTCTTAATTCTACAGGCTCATCTCTTAAAGCCGGCACAAAAGACCATCAGTTGCCTGTATGAAATAATGCATTATCTTACAGATCTACAGAGTCTCTTTGATAATTAGTTGATGACAGATTTTTCAACACACTGCCAACAATTTCTGTCCCTTGGGGTGAGAGCTATGTTGTTGTTGTTGTTGGTTTTGCTTTGTTTTGTTTTGTTTTTTCTCTGGAATCCCTATTCATGGTCAGATAAAAGCATTGTAGAGTAGAACAGCAGCGAAGTAAAGACTGCTTTGATCAGCTGAGAGAGCGCATATTTAGCTTGGGGGTGATCTGACGAGAGAAGTGTTTGGTGTTTTTTGTGATAGATCAGCACTAGATCAGTTTCATCAGTGTTTCATTTCTGAATTCTCCTCTTTTCTACAATTTGTATTTAGGGATAACTTAACACAGAATCTAACAGAAGCATATTCCTTAAAAGTTAATAGTATAACATTTCAGCCACTCCCAAATGTTCCCTCAGATTATAATATTACCACAGTATATAGGCTAATTTCATTTTAAAAGCATAGCTTTTTTTTCACTTATGCAGTTCCGCCATCTAAGCCATACTTCATCCTGGACATGACAAAACCTTGGGTGGCAGGGAAGAAGTATTCCATCTCCTGTGTTGCCCCCGACGCAAAGCCTGAAGCCAAAATTACACTGTTTAAAGGTGAGTCACCCCTTTCAGAAGCTTTAGGCGTGACAGTCATGGTCAAGCTGACTGGTTTGAAAGGCAATGCAGGTTTTTTTCATATCTCCCATTCTGGGATCTTTGTAGGCCATAACTTGAATATTTATTCAATCATGAAAACAGTTCCAGAAGATGAAATGCAGCTTCAGTAAAGGCCTCCCTTTTTTATAGTTGAATAGAAAGGAGCAGATTCTGTGTGGGAGGATAAAGCCTAAGCATTTGGAATTTTCAATATCCTCTGACTTCCAATTATAAGCTTAAAGAATGTATCACAAGTTACTGGTTTTTCATATAATCAGTTAGAAACTATGAATGTTTTTCATAGTTTCACAAACGCCCCTAAAGAGAAATTAAAGGCATTTGTTTATGTTCTTGCTCTGATTTAGCTTTGGGGCTGTGCTGCAGGTTAAGATGTTGAAAATTCCTGTCTTGTCAGTGGATATTACAATCAACACTGACACGATTTAAGAATTTTGAAGTTGAAAATGATATAAAATGTCAATGAATCACACAGTATCAGTATTTACTGTTCCACAGAAGAATTACAATAATGCTTCTGTTTAACATTAACACATTTACACACAGTATTCTCAGTATTCTTATTGTGTGCCTTCCCCCATTGTGTCTTTCAGATGGAGTCGAACTGACAGATGCACAGTCTTTCACCCTGTCTGGCTCAAAGGATAAGCTTCTGAACACGCATACTGAAGCAACGTATGTGTTCAACTGCCTGCCAGAGTCATTTTTCTCACCAGCCTGCTCAATCTCTCCAAGTCTGCCTGGGTTTCTTGTTTCCTCAGTTTTCCGCGTGCTCTTTTTCCCCCCCTCTGTCTTAGTGAGCACAATGAATTTCTGCACACACCAAACTGTTACTTGGCACCGCCAGATTGAATTAGCTTCTGTCAAATGCACAAAATTACATTCCAGTGGTGAGACAGATCCGATCCTCGCTGGTTCAATAGGTGTCTATACATTAAAAAGAGCCATAGATTACTTTAATCCCGCACGTCTCTTTGGTGTCAGAGATAATAACCCTTTGTCATATTCAGAGATAACATTTTCACAGAGGAGCTACAATGTTTTTCAGCTCTCCGGCAGGAGTGTCAAGTTTTTAAGCAATATTGATACTGTTTCTTCCCAATCCATCTGAGTGTGATCAGAATGTATGCTTTGTGTGACTTTTACCACTGTAACAAGACACTGACTAAATACACTGTGTCTTTCTACATTATCAACAAAGTTACTTCCCACTCATTGATGAGGTGCAAAGTATGTATATTCACCTTAAAATGAAATATAATCCATTATTCTTACCACAGCTGGATATGAAATTGATTAAATATAAGTAGCTCCATGGAACACAGCTTCAGTAGGTAAGGATTACTAAAAAAGATGCCTCAATATCAATAAATGAAGTCATAAACATACTCCAATATATTGTTTGCATAGGAAAATTGATTTATGGCATGCACATTCTGATCATTTGACTTAATTCAGTTTCTTTGTTTACAATAATGTGTGAAGACTGAAACAAATAATGACAATGTTACTTCAAGCATTTATTAATGATATGCATATGTCAGGATTATGTCTCTTGACCTTGTAATTCCATCTCTCCTCCGCTGAAAGGTTCACCCCTACGAGCTATGACAATGGACAGCCGTTGGCATGTCATGCCACAAATGAAGCCACCTCCAAGCCTGTGGTGACCACGATGACTATGAACGTCTATTGTGAGTGATTAACTGGCAGTCAACTCCTGCCTTATCTCAAAACTGCACACACAAACAAACGCACACACACACACTTATAGCTGCTAGCTCCCTCAACTTTACAGGATTCCAACTGTCCTCAGGGAGGCCCATTGGAGTCTGACCTTCTGCACTCAGTCTGTGCTTGTAGTCCAAGGAGAAACATCCAACTCCAGGGCAAAGTCACATCTCCAACTAAGCTACATTCACCAGGGGCAACATCCAGTTCTCAGGGCAGTCTCCTTTGGACTGATACTGACATGCAAATGCTGGAAGATTTCTTCTACATCGCATCAATCTGCAGTTATATTTTCATTTTTTACTTATTCTTTTTTGGTAATCTTAAAATTATTTAATCTTCTTTAATGGCCAGATGTTAAAGAAAATACACTAATCAGCTATTTTACCAATACAGACACTAAAGCATACAATACATACATTAAAAACAAAATTATATAAAAATTACCAATAGTTAACAGGAAGCCTGTGCCTTGGTTAATAATAAATCCTGTGCAAGTGCAGCAACATTTGTGCTCATCAGCTCAAATTAAATTTTGTGTGCACGGAAGCAGAAAATGAAGCCAGTTTTTCTTGCTTTTTTTCCACAATATTATCGCAAACTGTGACATTATATAATGAAATTGTTGCCGGAGCACATGAAGGTTGGCTGATACACATGCTGTCTCAGCCTCTTATGGCTTTTAATGCTTATTTTCCTCCTATTTTTCCTACTTAGAAATGCAGCAGAGAAAGCTGTTGTCTAATGCTTAAACAGTATGACTCTGCAGTCACCGGTTTCTACAGATGATGTGGTATTTTCTACCCTGCTGATCAGTTGACGTAATTGATTACTGAAGCTTTGGAGTCACGATGTTGATCAAAGTGAAGCGATTCTACTGATACCCCTCCAAATTCAGCCGCTGGATTAACTAAAGGCTAACTAGACAGTTTAATGTAGTCTTTATCTACTGCTAGCCTCCCTCCCTACATTAGCTGCCTCTACTGCTATTGTAGTCACCTATAACTGTAAGTGCTCCTCCCTCTCTACCTCTCCATCTCATTACTGAGCAACATGGGCTCTCTGCTGAACTGCTAATGTTGCAGAACTGGGGACCACCGCTGCAGTCTTGCTCAGTATGCCAGCCCATCAAACCCAGCGCTGTGGCCATTTTCACCCAGTCAGATTGTTAGTAAGGTGGCAATTTGTCATGCCGGCCCAGGGTCTGCAGTCTGCTCTCTGAAAGTGATTGCAGCAATAACAAAGGCCTGTCCTCTTCTAATTAATTTTAGTGAATATATTTTATTCAAGGAGACGTTAATTTATTCATATTTGTTGTTGCCTTATTACCGTTTGAACATCTGTTATTTTGCTTTATCGACTGGATCCAGCTCACTGCTCCCTTAATACTTAATGCTTTCATCAGATCTAGACCTCATGCCCTCAGTCATGTTAAATGTGGCCAATCTATTGGCCCTGTCTCAACAGAAAGCGACAGTCCCTACTCAATTGCAAAGAGTGTTCTTGTAGTTTCCCTCCATGTTATCCTATTGATTATCACTCAATACTCCTTTTGTCAGAGTTATACCCTTCATCCGTCACCTCTTTATCTTCATTTTTTTGCCGCCCCATGCCGCTCACCTTTGTCTGAACTATTTTTTGTTTTTCTGTGTCATTTCCAAACAGTCCCACCAAAGCCTCCAGCAATTGTAGGTCTGGATGAAGATAAAGTCAGAGCAGGGAGAACGCTTGTGTTGGAGTGCCAGTCTCAGAGCGGAAACCCTCTAGCAAGTCTCCAATGGACCAAGGTAAATACTCACACCATCTGTTAAAGGAGCTCGAAAACATGCTATAATGGTGGAAAAGATTGGACATTTTTGTTTAAAAACAAGTTAAAGTATTCTACAGCAGCCGCTGTGTACATTCTGGTCTTTACTGACTGCACCAGAAGGAAACGTTCTGCCGCCATTGTTTAATTTCACCTGTTCATCCATCTGCCAGAATGGAGAGGTTATATCCTCAACCTGGGAAGAGGACACTGAGGCACACAAATCCAGAAGTGTCCTCAAAACGAAGATCATCCCTGCCGACAACCAGGCGGAGTTTGGCTGTGAAAGCTTCAACATGGTGTCCCTGTCGCCCGTGTCCGTCACCCACAAAATAACTGTACTCTGTAAGGGGAAACAGTGCATTAAAAACACACTTAGCATGAGCACACAAAATCCTGGCAGGGCTCTGAGAACAGATTATTTGAAGATATGAAGACGAGCGAGAGCAGTACAAGCCTCATGGTCCCAGCTAAAACTCTATCTTTAAAATGATTAATGATATTAATGGCTAATATGGGATGTGATGCCCACATTTCCGATTGCCTCCAGATTCCTGGCACTGCATGTTCATTTGCACCTGTTACTGTAGTTCAATTAGTTTGATGCACAACTTCAAAGCATAGAAAGATATACTTTGAGCAACACAATAGATTAAAAATGATTCTCCGGATATGAAATGTTTATTTCAATAACAACAGAACAAATATGAAATGAATATTAATCAGCTATGGTGCATTGAGTCTGACAATAGCCTGATATCCACAGCCGAGACAGACAGCATTAGTCAGAGTTTAAAAAGCTGCCTGATTGATCCCCTGTATCGTCTAAATATGATTTGGATCGACCCTTCCAGCAGTCTCTGGCTCATGCTGTGCAATTGCATCTGAATCCCAATTCAGATATCCCAATCTCTCAGAAGGCTCTGCTGCCATGCCTTCAAGTCATCCATTCGGGGATGGTGAAAACGAACTGCTGACTGCTTAACCGTGCTCCAGCCTCTGGCAGAGGCTGCAGGGCACAGAGCGGGGCTCTGGATGTGCCCTTTCTACCGCACGGGACCTGAGTAATATCTTTGTATGCAGTACCATCTAATGTGAGATAAACACAAATGTGCAAAAGAGTTAGATGTATGAACTCTGCCCCAACCCTCCTTTCCTACGCTTGTCAGCTCAGTCCCCAGCCTTTGTATCTCCCCGAAGGCTTTATACAACTGCATCACATCGCCTGCAGCTATTGTACCCTGTCTCTCCCTCTGGTTAAAACGAAGCAGACTTGAGAAACCACAATGAAAACCCCCCAGAGAAAACAAGTTGCCACTCAAAGAGACGTTCACTTGCACCCTTGATACCACTCTGTGCTACACATCCTAAAATAGTTGTGCTTCTTCTGCTGTGATCAGAATAGGCAGCTGTTGAATGTGCTATTTGTGGGGTGGTATTTTTACTGACTTGTTTTTGTATGTTTGCCGGTGAACATGTGCATTTTCATCAGTTGAGCCTGCAGAGCTGACGCTGTCAGGTTCCTTTGAGGCCGTCGAGGGGAAGGAGTTGACTCTGACCTGCTACGCCACCTCCAGTAATCCGCCCGTCGATATTCGCTGGTGGTTGGGGCACAAAGAGCTCAACAGCACTGCTGTGCAGTGGGAAGAGGTGGGACTACAAGGCACAGAAATTACACAAAATTGAGCTTCATCCAAATAAGCTGGTAGCCAGGAGCAGCTGTAGCTAAACACATTAATGTCATGTCTTCACTCTTCTGACCGTGACATCTAGTTTCAAGATAACACTAAAAACTGGTGTGCTTATGTTCTTTTTTCGTAAACACTACACAAAAGATATGAATGTCGAAATATAAAAGATATTTTTCTTAGCCAAGCTTCCCAGTAAAGAACCAACAAAAAGCTAATGAAATGTCTTGCATGGAATGAAAAAATCTCCAGTAAGAAATGTGACCTGATGTGAACCCTTGTGGATGAAAGCAAACAGAATGACCATGAGCAATCCCTGAATAGGCCTGCCGCAGCTTCGTAAATGAGACAGCCAATTCTAAAAAGAGTGTTCTGCAGCTCTTCTCCTCTTTTGTGTATGTTAATAAGATCAAAGTGAATAAAAGCTGACACAGAAGATGAGTAATATTAAACAAGCTCTTTATTCATCTGGCAGCAGAATTTTCATTTGATCTTACACAAGGCACTCAGTGGGTTGTATGTGAGCTTTAATGCATTTGAAACAGTGTGAGGTTAATGAAGACTGACACTCCTATTCAGAGCCTTTGTTAGTCTTTCTGACTGTGGCTTTTACCGTAATCACCACAATAATGGCTTTAATAACCAGATGTGCTGCATAGGCATGACCACTATCAGGCAGGTGCAAAATGACACTGTGCTCAATTTATAAATGGGTACAAAGCAGGAGAGTCAGATGAATATGCTTATTTATCACAGACTGTGCACAACATCAGTTATTACAGCAGCTAATTTGCCATCTGTATTCGCCAAGACAAACCACACTGGGTTGTTTTTGTCAGACTTTTTTTCTTCTTCTCCTTCAGCTAAGCATGCCAGACCTAGTCTGTCTGCCCCCATCTAACCTGTCATGTGTGCTGTGTGTCTACAGGGAGACTATGGTGGGATGACAGCCACATCCAATGTGACCCACCGGTTTTTTCGGAATGATAATGGGCTGAAGATCAGCTGTGAGGCATTTAACAAGGACTTCTTCAAAGTCCAGGCTTCAAAAATCACTGTTTATTGTAAGAAACCCCAAATCCACATTCTATTTGTATTTTAGAACACGTGCTACATAATAATGCTGCAAAGTTTTCCATTTGGTAGATCTTAGTGCTGAAATAACCTAAGACGAACCTAACCTGTAATTTATGAGGGAAGCTGTCATCTCAAATTGGAATGCCAAGAAGTAAACACATTTCTGCAGGGATCTTATAGAAATGTGATGCATTTATATCCAACTAATTCAATCCAAAATACTGTCTGGTCTAAATCCAAACTATTAATGGGGACTTCATTTCTTTAAAAGCTGTTAAATTTTGGTTAATCTTAGGCTCAAAGATTATTTCAAACACTGCATACAGAACACAAGCTATTTATTTTTGGATGTTCTGAGAATCTCTAATATGATCTTTAACACATATCCACCTCACAGAAGGGTTTCATCACGAATGGACCAACTGAAAAAAGTATTCTCAAACAAATGAGGTTGCAGTTGTACTCAGACAGCACATGTAATTTCTGGATCATATAGTAGGTTTACAAACAAAACCAGCCATGAAGTGTGTTCATCTAATACTCCAATAGAAATGGTAATTTGTTCATACCTTTGAATATATACCTTCGAATACGTCATGGGTACGTGTCATTACAACAAATAACCTCATTGGTTAGGGTTAATAGAGACTACATCTATTTAAATCTTAAATGCATGTTAGTATCTCATAAGTGGCAATATGATTCTCGTGTTGGAAAGCAGTTTTTGGCTTTTCTGTGACTTTTTGTGTCTGTCCTTATAAGATAAATTCTAAATGAATAAATAAATTCTAGACATGACCTCAGGTCATTCTGGTACGCATGACTGAACAGCCCTTAAGGACATATTTAGGTGGGGCACAGGTTTTCAACGCTGCAACAGTACAGAAAGAAGAAACATTTTCAGAACTTTTTCTTTAAGTTCAAGCAAAGTATGTCACTTCTTTTCCTGAATGTGTTCCACCTCATATACATCAAGAATATTTTTATAATCAATGCTGAGAAGAAAGAAAATATCATTTTAAAAACAAAATATTCTATCTATTGTGTCATTATGAGTTCATCTTATAAATAAAATCTCTTGTTAGCTCTGCGTTCATGGAAGAAAATGTAAAGTTGTGAAAAATGTTACAACATTTTCAAAGTTCTTAACTGTTTTATAACAGACCCCCCTCACAGGGTATGGATAGATGCTCCCCACGAAGATCTCCCCCTTCACTCAGGGGCCACAGTCTCTCTTGTCTGTCACTCCACCGGTGGGAATCCCTCTGCAACCCTGACCTGGTTCAAGGTGAGAGTGTGCTGAGTATGCGTTACCCTCTGAGTGCGCTGCCTTGTATGTCAAGCACCCACAGACCGTATCCATAATTTCTTGTTTTAGAACGGAAAGACAGTGAGTTCTGCACAGAGGCAGACCTCCTCTGGCATGAGTGTAACTCGAGAACTCATCCTGGTCCTGACAGCAAGTGATAACATGGCCACTTACCGCTGTGATGCCACAAATCAGGCAAAGAAGACCATCTCTGCACGCACAAAGCTCTGGGTTTATTGTGAGTTACACTGCAGCTCTAACACATGAACGCCACTTGACCTTTATTGCGGTCACACTCATCTCAGAGACATGTAATGACCTTAATTTCAGATGAATGAATTTAATATAAGTTCCACTTAATGCTGATCTTTAACTGCAGAATGTAATGTTTCTCATCTTGATGTATTCAGTGACATATACTGGGATTTTTCTTGTTTGCTCCATGGTTCTGCAGTTACAGCAGTCAGCATAAAGATCACAGCCAATCAGGAGGTGCTCCGACACGGTCAGGTGCTAAAGCTTCGGTGCCTGTCTGGAAGCAGTAACCCAAAGTCCAACATCTCCTGGAGTCTGGGAACATTCAGGTTTTAGAGATGTGAAACACAACAACAAAAACATAACACGTCTACATTTATATAATTTGTCCCATTTTCTGTTTTATTGTGTTTTGAGAAGCTGCATTTGTAGTTATATCTGTCATTGCTACCTAATTTGCTACCAAGACAGGGCCCAGTTTCTCGGAAAATTATTTAGCTAATTCATGTTGAAAATGAGGCTGAACAAGAGATCGTTATTTAGTCAAATGTGCCACTATGCACATGTGATTGGTTTACTTGAAAATCCTTTAGAAATTGGATTTTCTGGATGGGATTTGTTTCTTAGGTTGGAGGGAGTCGAGGAGGCAGCCACTAAGGATCTATTTGGTGGTGTTGCAGTAAGCAACACTTTATCCCTGAATCTAAGTTCACAGCACCACAACCAGCAGGTCATTTGCCATGCTTACAACCCGGCGTTGGCTGAGGGGGCCAAAACATTTTATCAACTCAACGTGCTTTGTAAGTAGGGGGTGAATTGTTTGTTTACTTCTGTCTTTCTGTTTGTCTGCTTGTCTCCTTCTGTCTTATTTGTGTGTGACCAACAGATGCGTTTGGCATAATTTTTAAATGATGCATAAATTTGAACACTAATGGCTCCCATGAAAACTGCTTTGCCAGTGTGCTTTGGCTGTGTGTATGTGCGTGTTTAGTTTTTGTTTACAGGAAGCCTTTGTTGTGATTTGTGGGTCTGTTGAGCCCTGCTGCAGCGTGTCCTAATTGTGCATTTGCTTTGCTGCGTGGCCATGTTTGTCTTTGATGCCATTTCACAAGCAGAAGCCAGGCCCTGCATCAAAGCTTGGTACTGTGTCTGAGCATGAAAGAATGTCACTGTGCGTTTGTGTGGATCTACAGTTGGACAACAGTACTGTCAGTCGATGTTTTAATACCCGTCCCTCTCCCTATCGTGATGCTTTACTCCTCTGTCATCTAAGTGTGTGAAGCTGGTGAGATCTGGAATTATTAGTAGGATGTCGACTTGATTTTGATTCAACTCTCATTAGTATCTCTTCGTGCTCCCATCGTCAATGTTTTAGGTTCTCACCATACCTGTGGACTTGATTTTGTAGCTATACCACTTGCTCTTTTGATGCAAATTTAACTTAGTGTAGCTATATTTATGTGCTGTGTCAGACCCACCAGAATTCAGCCCCGAACAACCAACAGAGGTCCAGGTGGTGGAGGATGACATTGCAACTATCCCACTGCTGGTCTCAGCCAACCCAGAGGTGGTCTCCTGCACATGGCTGCACCGCGGGGGGATGCTGGTCAAAGGTGATCCAGGGCTGTGTGATGGCTTTATAAACCAGGTCCTAGTTGAGCTGAGCAAGCAAGTAAGCACTCAGTGCTGCCATACAGGGTCTGAATAAAACATGTCAGGTTAGCTAGCATGGGACCCTGCCAAATGTGATTCTCATTACAGCTGTAATGTATGCAGTCTAAATGAGGATTGCTGTCTCTCTGAATACAACAGAGCGGCTCTAAACCTGGCTGCTCCTCCAGGTCGGTGTCACCGGGGCTCTACTGCACCCACACCCTTTTTCTGTCAAGTCTGCTCCCAACATTATACTCAGCCAGCAACACAAGATGCCTGTGTTTTGAATGAGGGGGCACACTTTTACATTTTTGGTGCTGAGGATGAGAGGGTGTCTCTCACGTAGGCCATTGTTAGCCTCATGTGGGAATCAAGCCAGGCCAATCAATAATGCAGGATTAGATGTCACTAGGAGACCAGTGGCCAGAGGACATGCAGCTAATGAGCATGTAATGAATACTTAATTTACTATTGGTTTGCACGTGTGTGTGTGTGTGTGTGTGTGTGCGTGTGTGTGTGTGCGTGCGTGTGTGTTTTTCTTAAGAGGAGAGTCTGCACTACCACTGGTCAGATGACCATTCTCTGGTGATTAGGAATGCCACCAGGAGACATGCTGGAGTTTACACTGTACAGTGTGAAAATCCTGAAGGCGTCAACCAAATCGCTATCCGTCTGGATGTTCTTTGTAAGGCCCTACACACACATATATTCTTAGGCATGCTGTTGACAGCTAAATACAAACTGACAGTAGAGAAAAGGACATACAATTAGTTATTAAGGTATATCAGTGTTTGTATCAAAGTTTTCCTGCACATATTCCCTTTTTTTAGGCTTTAAGATGTAGTATTTGAAGGTACACCTGTGGACCCTTTAAGTTAGAAGTGAGCCCCATCATTTCTCTACTTTCATGTCCATTTCCTTCCCATAAAGAGTGTGACTAGAATATCTTGCTCGTAATTGTCCAGTTTGCGCAATTAATTTATATCTTAGGCTTCTAACAGTGGGATTTTGAACTTCTCTGGAGCTTCAAAGTATCAGACAACAACACAGACTTTCAGCCTCTACTCACCAAGTCATCATTAAACCTCCATGCAAGGCCGTCCACTTCCCCTACTGCCTCAGGGCCAGCCTTAAGCTCCAGGCCCTCTGCCTCAATAGTGATGATTTAATAATGCGAGTGCTGAAAATGTAGGTCTGCCTTATTCACCAAAGCCCATGGTACACGCCTAATGGATTCTGCCATTCTGAACTGACTGGGCTTGACAGTTGTAGATATTCATTATGTATGGAGGATTGTAGTAGCTTTTATGTGTGGCAGTGTAGCCCACTTAACAATGTCGTTCTTGGTTAGGAGACCAACATGAGTGGATCCTGCAAACCCAGAGGTCTGTGTCTTGCCACTGTTCTTCAAGAGTTAACATAGGTTCAGACAAGTAGGCACTAATGGCCTTATTGTTGCATCTACATGGCGCCCAGGGGAAGTACAAAAATCATGGGAGGTAAAGGGGTAGAAAAAAAAGGGAAAAAGTAGGGCCAAGCTGACTGGAAGAAAAATAAATTGATGGATAAAAAGAGGAAACAAAGGTGGGCTACCTGGTCTTTCGCTAACATTGCTATTGGGGTTTGCTCTTATTAGTGGTCTTCATAGATCAAATCACAAGTTTGCAATTTGTATGCAGAAGTGTTTTTAAAGAAGTTATAAGTAATGTATCCCAAGAATATATGCCTGTTACATTGGAGTTAGAAACACTGTCAAAGCCAAACAAATAAAAGAGAATATAGAGCAATCCATCATGCTTTTAGAACGGATGACTTTTCTCATACTGACATTATCACTGCCTTAGCCTTGTCTCCTTTTCTTACTCTCAGATGCAGCCAGTGTCAAAGCAGAGAAAGACCCTGTGTTTGTTAATCTGGGAGGAATAGCAGACCTGATCTGTGTGGCCGATGCTAACCCCATAATACCTGACATGTTCTCTTGGACATGGCTGGTGAGAGCAACACACATGCACACACTCAAGAGCTGCAACAGCCAGTGGCCAAATTATATTTCCTCCTTTAGCATGATTTTCTCTGGTCTTACCGTTTATCACTGGCCTTTGTAAATGCAAAGATGAGCCATATTTCACTAACTCTAACTATCCTTCCACCCCACCTCTTCCTGCTTCACACTCAGCCCAAATCCAGAAAAATAGCTTTCATTACTGCTGCGTGACTAAAGGGCACATTCGTCAATGTGGCGTGGTGTCTGTATCGGCTGATGCTTTCTGCGGTCTCACCCACCCTCTGGCAGTAAAGTGTGTTCAGCTTTCTACCTGAATGCCCCCCCCCCCTTTCTCTTTTCTTGTGGCATTCCAGTCATTGTTGTTATTCTTCTGATTCGTTGAATGCCCTTCTCCTGCAGACCCAGAGCCCTGGCTGGCTTACTGCCTGTCTTGCTTTGTGCAGCCAGACAGGTGGAAAGCCGTACCCCAGGAGGAGGGGAGCGGGTATTGAGGGATAGTGGCTGTCTCCTGCTTATTTCTCCTCACTCTGTCTTTTACAGGGAGAGGAGGAGGTGGAGATGGGAGAGGAGATCCAGGAAGACAAATCAAGCCTTCTGACCATTCGTGATGCGACTAGGGCTCATGCTGGTCTTTACCAGTGCACAGCCAATAATGGCATAGGACTTACTTCCTTTGTAGATGTGCGGCTGGTGGTACAGTGTGAGTTCAAAGTGTTTGTTTTTCAGTCACAACATTGTCACAACAGAACAATTTTTACATCTCATTAGCAAGCACATGCTTAACTTTTAGAATATGCATACTTTTACTGCCTCTTCTTCCTTTTTGTGTCAATTTCTTTTCATGATTTGTCTCCATGTGAACGTTGTTTCTTGTAGTCAAACCAGAGCTTCAGAAAGGGCCTCAGTGGAGAAAGGTAGCAAGCAGAGGGGATGGCACGACCTGGGCTGAATTGGTGTGTCAGGCAGAGGGCATTCCTCGTGTCAACTTCTTTTGGGAAAAAAAGGGTGTGCTCATGGATTTGGCAAACCCCAGGTCAGAATGAAGTCATTTTTTTCTTTATGTTCCCTATTGATTTTGGCAGTGCTGAAAGCATTGCTTGTTGATGAATCCTTACAATTAGATTAGTTTCGACCCAAATAAAATATATTATTTTGCTGTGTCTTGTTATTTTACCAAGCCTGAATGTATTTTATACTTCCACAGTGTCTGCTGCGTGTCCGTTCGGTGTTATCTTTTTCCTCTTTGTGCATGTGTGTGTGTGTGTGTGCTCATGCTGCAGGTATGAGGAGAAGACAGTGAGGGAAGGCTCCTACCACACCAGCACACTGCGTGTAGTCAATGTGAGCGCAATTCTGGACTATGCAGTCTTCAGTTGCACAGCTCGCAACTCACTTGGGGAAGACAAGCTAGACATCCAGCTCGTCAGCACAAGTACTGCGTCTGCATACATTTCCATTTTTTCTGTAGATGCGTGAGCATTTCTGGGTGACTGTGGTTCTCTCCACTGAATCCTTTGTTGGTGTCCTGAAAAAAGCAGTTTATCACTGAAGTATCCACTTTTTATGAGCCCAGAAAAGAACACTCCCTTTCTGTTGATTTTCATTTCATTAGATCATCTACTGTCTCATTAAATAGTAAATCTAGCTTCAAATATAAGATCATTTCATGATTTTACACAGATTAAATCTGTATTTCGGAATATTTAGGTTTACTTTAATTATTCTCATCAACACAGAAGAGAAAATGATGAAAGACTGGCAAGAAACAGACCCAGACAAATACCTGGGGACATCAAACTGCACCAAGATAAATGTATATCGTTTTCTCCCTCATCTTGGTGCCCGTCTCTGCCCAATGTGCAGTTTCTGTTAGTGTATTTTTGCCCCCTTGTGGATAAAACTCCCCCAAGACAGCTGGGAGTGAATGGGAAATGATTAAAGTCAGTTTTTATGGCACACAACTTGTAGGGATTATCCTTATCACATACTTGGCAGTGGAGCACTAATTTTCCTCTGGTTCTAATTTGGCAGCATTTCAAAGTAACTGAGCATGTTCTGCCTTGTCCAAATTCATCAGGCTGTTTCAGCAACATTGCAATGTTTGGGAGAGCCATTGATTCTGATCAAGAATTCTGTAAAGTGCAGGGAGCTGTTTCACCTGAGGGTCAGCCCTTAAAGTGAACTCATTCCATTGCTCTATCTCTGCCTTATCATTTACCCCAAAGCACTACTTTCCTTCATCCAGAGATAATACGGTACCGATATGCTTTACTCTCCCGGCATGCTTGGACTTTTCCACCTTCAAGCTACCACTGTATCGGCACACGTTTAACTGTAATCACCAAAGTCCAACTGTCAGCACAGGCCAGCAGCCATCGCTGGATGCATTTAATGTGTACAATTAAAACCATGACATACAATCCAATATTGGCCCTGTTTTTCCACTTGTCATTTATAAAGCGGTGAATATTCATTATTAATCTAAGGCAGTGATAACACATTTATATATGCTTCCTTATCATTTCAGAGCCAGAAAGCAGAAGGAAGTGTTTCATTTGTCTCCCCTTAGCATGGGGCTTTATGGATTTTAGGAAGACAAGATCCAAATAAGACTGACCTCTTTGCCCCAGAATTTTATGAGCTGAGCTGATGGTGGGAATTATTTACTTTGGAAACTGGGTTGCAGCCCCGAGCCATACACAAGCAATTCTTCTCCTTCTTATGTTGTTTGTCAACTATCTCTCCTTGATTATATCTCCCTTAACTCTCAAAACCACCATCCTCCATTTTTTTTAAAGTGGTAAATAATCCAATTTTCCTTTACAGACCCCAGTAATGTGGTGTGTTATGTTGGACTGGAGGTCTGGAGAGCTTCCTTTGATTATAGTCTCAATACTGATATCACAGTGACAAAGAAATTATTCTTATTGCATATTCATGGCAATTTGGCGAGTAACCTTTTTTGGTTCTTTGATAAATTATCTGAATTCTGTCTCCAGTCATCGTTCATAGAGTTTATTAGTCACTGTAAAAAAAAAACTAAAAAAAACATTGTCATAAAATCCTGAAGACTATAAATAGTTTTTAAAAATAGACTAGAAAAAATAAAACATACTGTACTTCAAGGTTTCACTCATTTTTGTTTCATATCACAAGTTATTAACTTGAACTGTGACCCTCTTATTCCTTTAGAATAAAGACCCATGTGTTATTTCACTTCATCAATATAATAGCAATTACAGTTATCTAATGCTGCACATTTTCAGGTCTTAACAGCTAAAGACATTCAAATCCCCTCTGATGAGTGAAAGTGTCCAGCTCTCACATAAAAACCTCATTTGCATTTTCAGCCTGTCTCCCTTTCTTTGTCCCACAGATCACCCAGATCCTCCGTCATCGTTTGGGGAAGTCAGCGTTAGCCACGATTCTGTCACTCTAGAGTGGATCCCTGGCTTCGATGGCGGTTTGCCTCAGAGATTCCGCATAAGGTGGAAAGCCAAGTAAAGATGTTTTCAGAATGAAGCCTTTTTATCATTACTTGAATGAGCTTTTTTGTTTTACAGATACCGTTGGGACCAGTCTGTCAGCTTCCAGTATGTGGATGTCTTCCCGCTTGATGTAGCAACTTTCACTGTCACTGGTCTGCAGCCAGTCACCACCTACAATTTCTCTGTCAATGCTCTCAATGAAATTGGAGAGAGTGGATATGCTGATAACAATGCAGTACTGACCATCACCACCAAGGGTCAGTTTGGAGTTACCCCACCTCAGCTCTCTCTGAGAGGTCTGAACTGGACAACCATCTGAATGTCTGTCATACATAAAACATGAGTCTGTTTTTTGTATGTTTTTTTTCTTCATAGAGAGGCCAGAGCAAAAGACGGACCTGACAGATGTGGGTCCTCAGAGTGAGTCTTTTACCACAATTCTCCCACACAACTTTATTTGTTTCTTAAGTCATTTGTATATGAGGTTGCTATAATGAGATGGCGTTTCTGGTGTGTTGCAAACTAGGTGAAGGAGGACTGCAGGCCTATGTGATTGCACTACTTGCCGTGTTATTTGGGCTCCTGCTGCTGCTGAATTCTCTGGGCTTCTTTTTTACGCTGAAATGGAGAAAGAGACGAGACCAGACAAGTTAGCCTGACCATCTTTTCATCTATGGATGTGGAAGTGTTCTTTCCATCACTTGTTGTCTTTGTAATGTCCTCCTTCCCTAACAAAACTCTAAAGAGCTTACTCTGAAACATGATGCAATTGTCAGCTCAGCACCTCATTTCTTCATGTCCTCCCTTCTATACTGTCACCTCTCCTTTCCCTCATCCTCCAAGCCTCTACCTCTGTCCACATTCATCCCTCAAAGCTGTCACTTTCATGTTGCAGCCATATCTCATATCTCATTTGCAAGCTGTATGTCCTTCCTCTGTCTACCCTTTTGTCTCTTTTCATTTTTTCATCCGCTTAACTATCAAGATCTACCTCTCAATCTTTCATTTTTACTTAAAGACTCATTGAAATTTCTTTAAAGCATTTTATTTCACAGCCCTCAAGTGTTTAATTCATTGTTTCTTTCCAGGCTCTTTAGTTCATCTATAAATTTCCCGGCTTATAAAATTACTCCGTATGTTTTCTTGTTTCTTCCCACCCAGTAGGCTCAGGGGTTACTGTGCTGGATGGACAGAAGAATAAAGAGGATGGGTAAGTCCATACTCTCCTGTTCTTTTTAAATGATAAAGATTCACACAATTTATTCATATTATGATGTCTGAGATCCTATTTAGAGGCCTACTCAGTGGTAGAAATTGAGTGAGCAAACTGTTAGTTGTTATCGAGTTTTTTTCTATTTAACGTCAGCAGAATTTTACAACAATCCTGTAAAGATCTAAAAATAACAAAAAAATTGATTATTTTTCAAGAGCTTACTGTATACAGTACAGGTATTTCTATAAGTTGTGTTTCTGATCAAGTCTGCTCTCTCCATGCAGGTCAAGTCAACCAACCGAAGGGAACTCCAATAAGTATGAGAGTGGAGAAAAGATCAACACTGCAGCCCAGCGTACCCTCCTCATGGAGTCTGGATCTGAAACAGACAGCAACATCTATGTGAGCTATACAGCAGTAAGAAAGGAAGGGGTGGATATGTGCAGGTACAAAGAAGGCTGAGTAAACAGATGAGAAGAGGAAAGAGGTTAGGCGGAGGGTGAGGGGATCTGGCAGGAGAGGAAGTGGAGAATTCAGCCATAACAAGGGAAATGGATAGATAAACTAATGAAACCTTTGGCTGTGCCTAGAGATGGGGCATAGATCAATATTTCACAATTAGCATTCAAAATACCCATTGATCTGGACGAAATTATCATTTCGTACTTTAAAAAGGTCAACAAGGAGTTGAACCTTGAAGAAAACTGTTTAGAGAGGTCAAGGAAAACAGATACCTTTGTGTTGTCGGAGGAGAATCAATCCACAAATACTCATGGTGGCCTATGTCGTCACATCTTTTATTTTACCCTAAAAGTACCTTCACCTTTTCACCTGGGATGCTGCATTATATATCAACAAAATAAGACTGTAATTATTTTCTAAATCTCAATTAACTTAATAGATGCAGTGTTGAAAAAGAGGCTTTTTGATATTATAAATGCTTTGATTGCAGCAACACAGATACAATTAGGGAAAGGGGCAACAGAACAAGAGTAAGTGCAACAGAAGGAGGAAAACGCTAAAAGAACAGACTGTATCTAGTGAGATGAAATGATGACAACAGGGGAATAAAAGAGGGAATGAAAGAAGAGCACCTTAGAGAAGAAGAGTCCAGGTTTAACAATCTGCAAACAACTGTGTCTACCAAGTTTGTAAGTGCCAAGTGATGTTAGTCAATGAAGAAAACACCCCACGTCTTATGCAACATCACCGCTTAATAGGAGAATATGATATTAATTAATTTGCCACAAATAAAAATACTTGGCACAACATAAAATGCCAAATTAGATGAAGAATGCCCCAGACTAGATCTAGAACATTGCAAAAAAAGGAAGTGATTTTCGTCTTGGTCTCTAATTGAAATGAATGAATAAACTGCCAAATCACAGCTACAGTTATTCACTTCAATCCAATTTCGTAATGATCCAAATAAATCAAATAGTCCACTTCTTTGAATGACACTTTATGAAAAGTTGCTTAATTATGAAAACCGATAAATTAACAGGTACATTCAAGATGAGTAAAACATTTCAAGAAATAGAAAATGTCCAATTTTCTGTCTTATTTTGAACCTGGTCATTATAAGTCACATAATGGAATTATTTTAAAGCCCTTTCCACAGCTCCCAGCTATTTTTAAATTAGTTTTTTATTTGTTGAACTTGTCTGAAAAAATGTTTGTGCAACTCAGATTTTGAAAGTAAAAATATTCAAGCTTTAAATAAGGTACCTGTTATCTAAGAAATGTCCTGCCCCGTAGTGTCAGGTACTCTGCTATGGTTTCCGTCTGCTAAAGGCCAGTGAGGAAAGAATTTGGATGACACAAATGCCCAAGGCCTTAATGTGCCTCACTACAATGGTGACACATGTGGATTTTCCATTTAAAGTTTATAGGGTAAAAGCTGTTCTGATGCTATCTCCTCTGTCTCACTTTCAGGAAAACTCTTGTTATTATTACCCCACTGGTGACTATAAGCCTTATCTCAGCCCACACCCTGAGGAAAGACGTGGCCTTGGTGAGATGCAAGCATACCTCAGTGTAAACAATGCAGTTGTAAACATACAGTATCCAGATTTTCAGCCAATAAGGGCTTATACATCTTATCACAGGGAAGATTTCTATTCTATTTGAATAAATAAAAATGTCAAATCATGTCTTTCATGTACTGTTCAAGGTGCGACTCACCTTCCCATGAACTCTGAAAGCCATTTGTATGAAGATGTAAGAGATGGGGGAGAGTACCAGGACGTGGCGTCCTCCCTCCCTTTCCCACCATTTTTTTCTGACTACAGGCGGATTCAACAAAGGAATGACATGAGGTCACTGACCTATGCGCAGGTGTGTTATAATAATGTGGAAAACAACAGGGACAAAAGCTGTTTTTTTAATATAAGTAAAGTTTCACAATTCAGCCAACAAATATTTGATAGATCTGAATAATATACTTAACATTCAATATGCAGAATGTATAAAAGATGTGCAATCTGTCTCTCAACAGGGTGTTGAAAATGTGAAGCAATTCATGGATGTTCAACTACCACAGAGGGATTACAATCTACCATTTGAACTGCAGGGAGAGCTAGTCTGAACCGAGAACTGCAAACATATGTCCTCTTATCTCAGCCCTGGTCATAAAATACTGTGCATATATTCACTGCTGTATGAATTTTTATTCTTCTTGAATTAGATCTCACAACTGACCTCTTTTGTTAAGAGGAAAATAGTACATAGATAATTTCATATTCTGGGTGTTTTTACTCCGTATTGCATATATGGTTATGAGATTATCTAATGTATAGCCCAAATTGACAATTTGAGGCTGAATTAAAGCCAGGATGAATGGCAGAATGATTTCAAAGAATGATGTGAAGGCTTGAATAATTTTTAGTGATCAGGAATGTCAATACACGTGTTAATAAAGATTATTAACTGTATCCTTTGCCTTTTCTAAGATCTCTGTCTTCTTTTCTTGCCCCTTGTTTACCTCCTTTCTGTTGCTTGGAGCGATGTCATGGTCTCTTACCCCACTCCCCACCGTCCTCTCTTGCTGGCCTGCAAGGAGACATGAATCAGTCGGTTGGAGATAAAAATGGACTGACATGTATGTGGTTGGCACTGGAGCAGAAGCAACACAGGCTCATGATGCCACCCAGGCAGACATCATCCTTTTGACCCATCTGACATCAACATTATTTCACCGTGTACCCAGATGAGAACCTGATGACAGGGCCCTGCTCCACCCCCTGTCAGCTACAAAGAAATTTCAGATCTCACAGCTGGTCTGTGGGAATCACCACAATGGGATCACATTGAGCGGCATTTAGCTCGCTTATGCCTTCAGGAGAAAAAGCTATATCTACGGCCAAGCTCTAATCCTGTTTTCTCTCAGATTGAAGTTCAGCAAACAACATCAGTGAGGGGGAGAAACCACGCAGGGAATTTGTCTCACCGAGAGTGGGCAGTCAGCGAGATAGAAACCCAAAGAGAGTTTAGCCAGAGCTGTAAATGTGGTCACTGCAACAAAAACCGGCCTCTCAATCTTTCCCACAAAAAGCATTAAACTGTAGGTGTGCACTACATACATAACCTAAAATCATTTATTATTTGTTCAGAGAGCTAAAAATTAAGTTAGAAGAGGTGCGGAGGAAAATATCAACATCAGTTCTGTTTTTAACATTAAGACAATTACATTTTCTGCTCCTTTCAGTCCCTTAAAGAGCAAGGCTTTAAACAATTACACCATGTCCTCGTGTGAATATGTGGACCGCAAGCGCAAACAGCTTCCACTTTTAGTCATTCTCACAATGATAGTCCCAATATGTAGCATATAAGTGTGTACTGTGTATTTTGCTTAATAAAAAGCAAATATTAGCTGATACAAAGTACAAATAGAAATGTTTCTAAAGACAGGAAAATTCTTCCTAATTCAGACTAAACTAAAGAGGTCGTGGCAAGAACTGAAGAAGCGTTTTCTTGTATCTTATACTGATCCAGAGGCAGGATCCTACAGGTTTTATCATAAAACGTGCGATCAGGAAAGGTTAGGAATCTCCATATTTCTTCAGATATCTGTAAAACACACCTTTTTTCCAATTCCAGCTCAAGTTTCCAATAGATGAGTACTGTTAAATACAATACAGTCATAAAAGGAAGTTATGAAAGTTCCCTTGATATTAGACTTCCCTTTTTTATAGACTCCACTGTTATTTCATTAGGTAAAAAAATGCAACTTTAGAAAAAAATCACCTACTGGATGTGAGACTGCATTAAGAATTTGACTCAACAATGACATTCTGTTTATTTAAAGGGACGCATTGCCGGGAGATACATCTAAATATTTCCCTGAGCTGTATTCTCTCCGCTAGCCTTGCTTTTCTATATCATGAACTGTCAAGGTAAGTTTGTCTCTTTACTGAAATCCCTGTCTAACTGACTGGTGTTTTCATACCAAAGCCGGTTCATAATGTGTCATTTCAGTTCAGGCAGGAATGGTAATCTGCTAAACTGAATGTTTGACAGCTCAATACTGGATGTCAACCTTTATTATCCTTCACTCGCCTCATGAACATTTTGATATGTTGTTTTCAGAAAACCTCAAGTGAGCTCAAACAAACGTTAATTCAAGGGAGAACCAAATGAGAGCCTTCAAGTACCTCATCTCTAGGTGTTTTTCCATCCCTCTGCTTGGTTCAATACCATCTCTCTGTGAGTGTGACAGGTTGTACTACCAGCAGAAAGCCAATAAAGAGTAACTGAAATACTATATATGCCATTTTTTGTTTTTTTTTCCCCCTTTGCTCTTTCCCTTTTATCAACTGGATCCAGATGAAAATCAAATAAAATGTAATCCCGGGCCATCCGAGGTCACTAAAGTCGATAAAATTTGCAGCTCACAGTGAATAAATGCAATATTAGTGCTTAAAAGATAACTAAGATGTTGAAATAAGAAATAACCTCACTGGTCAGTTCATGCAGGCAGAAAGGATCTATGGAGGATGCATCACCTGGTGAAGTGTGGAAATCCTATCCAGTAACACACCCATGGCACATGTATGTAAGGCTAATGTAGTTTTGATATCTAGCCCTCACCCAGTGATGTGATTGCCTAAAGGTACCAAAGAAGCAAAAAATCTTTGTTGTAACCAAGGCAACGGCTTCATGGCAATCATGATGTAAAATTCATATTCAAATGAATGTATTTCCACTCAAACCATGATCTCTTCCCACCCGAAGCCAAATCATTATGATTTATAAACCGAATTATAAAATGTTATTGCACAAAACCAACCAAGGACTGACAAGAAGGTTGCTTTGTAATTCTAATACACAAATCAGGATGGAGAAAAAAAAGGTATTTCAAATCTTGGTCTCACATACATACGCACAGTTAAGGCGCAAAGCTTTTATCTGCAACATCAACAAGCCTTTTGTGGTTTATTGTGGGAAAACTAGATGTTATCTGCTGTCATGTGGTTACACTCACGTTTGCAATATTTCCCTCATAAATTTTGTACAGGCCAGACTCTGGACACCATTTTGGGTCATGCTCAAAGGTTAATTCTATTTGTTTTCATTTTGAGGATGTGTCATGTACACAACTAGAGTATTCCACCAAGGTAGGAGATCTTTACTCTTATTATACTATTCTCCCTCTCCATTTTTTTATGTTTGCCAGCCATGAAATTCAAAATGTCATTCTGGCTGCGTTTTTAAATTAGAAAGCAATTTCAATCACTTTCAGTCTGTTTCTATTTTGATATTGAAAACCCTATCTTTTCTTTATTTTTTAAATAAAATTGAAATTAGAATATTCCTAATTTGTAATAAAAACTAAAACAGACATTTGAAAGACAAGCTGATTCAAAAACACCCTTGGCACTGTGGACAAAGACTGCAATCTGCTTGTGTGGATGAATTGGGGGCTTTGTCTGTTTTAACTGTTTAGGTTTGTATTTCTGGGTTGGGCAAAGCAGTTCGGTCACAATTACAACAGCAGAAACAGCTTAAATATCTGGAAAATAAGCAAGACATTGGATGCTGTCAGTGCCTATCTGAAATTAGGAGAGCTTGAGGTGCAATAGAGCATCTATCTTAATCATTTATGGGGGGGGACTTACAACTCTTAGAAAGTGAAAAACAGAACCAATAGTATTCTATATAGTGCAGTGACATTCTTAATATCAGCGTTTATAAAGAAAGGTTATAATATCATCTGCTTCGTAATCAATATTAGTTTGTTGCATCTTCGTTTGAAAGCAAACACAACAACCCTCTTTTATCATGAAGTTAATTTTTTTCTATGAGTCAGCAACAGAGATGCATGACAAATAGACCATTGCTCTAAAAATCTAGTACAAACATGGAGGAAAATTATCAATAGCAAAGGAATATTAGAATGAAAAGAATTGTTCCTGGGCAAAAGAATCGCAGTAGTACTGAAAGTTAGTGAATGCAAGAAACTGGATTGCAAAGAGCCTGCAGAGGAGGGCAATGTCATCAGAAAGAGTGGGTGAGAGAGAGAGAAAATGTAAGACTGAAACAGTCGTCTGGATGAGGAAGTGGCAGTGGTGAGCACCTGGGTGTGGTAGGCGAGCCTTTCAAAAGTGACACACATAGGACAGCGTGGTGGATGATGAGCTTTCGGATACCTCTTTGGACACTAACATCTTACAGGATGGATGCTAAGGTACGCATAATAGTTTGAATGAGGGACTAAATATCTGAAGGCTGGGGGCTGCTTTGTGTGAAGCTGGCTGGGAGAGGATTGATGGAGAATGACAGGCAAACAGATGCACGGACAGAGAGTGAATGAGAATGCTACATGTGACAAACAGACAGGCGGTTAGGCTAGGGAAAGGGTAGGACGCCCGCACAGCCCAGGGGAAACAGGCCTCATCTTGCCATATGCTCTGGAGTGAAATGAAGATTGGCATGACCTGCTAATCTGAGCTGTCAAAGCTCATGACGTCCACAGACGCGCACCTGTCACACCACTCCAGCCGGGGGGACGAGCTGCCGCCAGGATAGGTCAAAGATGGAGATTCATTTTCTGCTGGGGGTGGATTCAAAGCAGGTCCCAAGCCAACACTTTCCTCTGTTATCCTGCCTGCCTCCGTTGCACCTGCTGACAGTTGTTTTTCTCCGTATTGTTTTAAAATCTCACAAAACTCGACATTTTCTGTTTGAGTGATTTTGTTTTAAGCTACAGGCAATATGTTGAGGGGGAGGAAGCTTGTTTTTCCACTGATCTGGAGACTGCTCACCATCTCAGGATCTCCATTATGTTAAAAATATTTTGACACGTCTTCCATTGCCAATTTTTAATTGGTGACAGCTCTCAAAATATGATGAAGTAAAAATCCGTTGTACAGAAAAGTTCAGCGCAGACATAAGTGGGAGGTTTGCGCGCACAATATGTGGCCTCGATCATTCATTTTTGGCAAATAAAAAGTTTATTTTTTGTTTGCCTCTCAAAGTAAGAACGTCTTTTCTTCTGTCATGCGGTGTGAGGGGTGTGGGTGATGAAGCCTTGTGCTGAAGCAGGAAGGAGAAGTGGCCATGTGGTGCGAACCTCAATGAGCACATCTTCCTGTCTGGGGGGTTGTGCACCGTACAGAGTGTTCCAGAGTCATTGCCTGAATCATCAAGGCAGATTTTTTAATGTACCATGTAGTGCTCATTTGCATTGCATTCAGGCTCTGACCAAATATTGCTGAGATCATTATCATAACTGAAGAGACCCAGGCTAAATCAACCATCATTTTCTGTGTGCTCATTTTCTGGCTTTTTCTCTTTTTTTTTATGGATGTCTGCACTTACAAACAAGTGCTGAAAAGTGTAAACATGCATAATTGTTCATCCTGATACCTACCACCTGTGTTTTATAAGCCTTGGATCAGTTCTTGTCAGGTTCATTTAAATAGAATTTGATAAACCCTCTTCATGCAAAACACTTTTAACTCCTTTTTACATATATCTTTGTCTTTCAGACTTGTACGGCCTCCCTGATATATTTCCTGTTTGTTATGTTAAAAGGTGAGTGTTGAGAGATCCTCTCTAATGCAGGATTTCTTTTTAATGAAGTCATGCATGAACTGATTTTGAAATGAGTCCAGGTCATTTCCACAGACCATGTTATGGAACATAATTTTTTATTAAGATATGACACACACAAGTACAGCTTTCCAGGAAGTAAGTGTCAAATAAAATATCCAAAAGGAATCGAAGTCTGTTTATAATTCTAATTAATGCTGAACAAACCTGGTCACTGTAAGAACATGTGGAAAAGATTTATTTAAAATATGTTAAAAAATCTAAGCACATTTTTATCATCGGTATGGTAACTTATAAACCCAACAATTTGAGAATCTACAAAACAAGCATACTGCTAAATATATTCAAACTGAGTTTGTTATGCATATTTAAACAAAATGGCCAACCCACATGGGGTTGAATTTCACCAGAGGTCAGATTTCAACGCCTGCTTTTTAGTGAGCAGGACTTCCAGGTCTCCCTTTATACCGTCATTTTGACTCTTTTTACCTCCAACAAACAAACTTTGTGCTACAACAGAGGTAACAGGAGTGAAGCCCCTACACAGTGATGCTTCTCTCCAAGCCTGAAATCCTACATAACAAATTAAGCATTTATCAAATTTGAGTCTTCACTGTATTAAAGTTACATTTATACTGTTTTTGTCTCAAACAAATTAAGTAACTGAGTGATAGGAAACACATATAAAACATTATTTTGCTTTTTCAAGCATCACATATGCAAATGTCTTAGCATAAAATGTAAAAAGTGAATATATATATATATATATATATATATCTTGAGCCACCATTGGCTAAAGTACATACTGTATGTTCTTTCTCTACGGCTTTAAAACTTCCTCTCTCTTTTTTCCTCTTTGAAAGAGGAAGAATGTCTAACTTCCTTCTTCTAATATCAGTTGTTCCTCAGAATGGAAGCAGAGGATTCAACATGAACACTCTTAGAATATAACATCTCTTTAAATTGGAGACAGTGGTGGAACAATCATTTAGACCCTTTCCTAACCTATTTGAAGAAAAAAAGACCTCTGCAACCAATTCATTGTTGAATAAAGTTGTATATAATAAACTCTAATCAGTTTGTGGGAAAAATGTCCGGTTTTGCTCACAGCCTAAACACAATACTTGTTTCTGAACTGTAAACTGTTACACATCAAAATCCACAATGTTAAAAAGACCCATTTAGCACGATGGTAAATTTTTAAAGTTGATGTTCTCCAGGGTTTAATAGCCTCATGCTTCAATTTGTGAATGCGCAATGTGTGATCTGAATGATTTTAGTCATTTGAATGGGACTGTCCAGCACCTGCGTTTAGCAGAGGCTTAATCATCATTCACAGTTTAGGCAAACCAGTTCTACTTTTCGAAGCCAAAATTCAATTAAGCTGAATCAGCAAAACATATAAATATTCAAGTAAACCAAAACTAATTACACCTTTGATCAAGTCCATTTCTACGTGTTCATTAAAGTAGCTGGACTCACAGCATTAGTTCAACAAAGTGGAGGTTTTGTGGAGCTTCAGCACTAATTGGAAGGTGCTGAGTGAGTAAACACACAATGGTTCTTCTGTCCCGTCGTCTCGCTCAACAATCTAGCTCTGTTGTGCCCTGAGGTTGCCTCACAGCCCAGCTTACAGGACCCCTACTATGACATACTGTGCATCTGCGGGCCTCTCTCCCCCTGAAAGGCAAGACACATTCTGAAGTCTGCCCTCAGTCGGGAATACATGACAGCATTGTTTGAGAGACTCACATGCACAAACACCATGATGCTTTGTTCTTCCTGCAAAGTGGACTGTTTCTTCTCACTGGTGTTTTTTTTTTTTTTTTTTGGCTGGGGTGATTAAAACTAAGTCTTGTTTTCCTACAGTGTCTCAGGCTCAAACTCCCACAGCAGCAGATCAGAATGTGCCGTTGAACACCAGTATGAATGCCATTCCTACCACCGTCTTTGGTAAAGCACTTCATGTGTATATATATGTATATGTAACTTGTTCTCCATTTTGTGAATGTTCAGATCAAATGATAAAAAAAATCACATCTGTCAGATTTATCTCATGCGATTGGTTTGTGTGTGCAAACGCAGAAAAAAGGGAAATCCGAGTCACCAGAAATACCAACTCCTCTCCAGAAACCCCTCTAACTGAACACGCCACGAAACAAGTCACCAACAGCTCAGTCAACACCACTGACTCAAAGACACCAGGTAGTGTATTCAATCATTAGCAGCATTGGCAGCACTAAAAAGCTCAGTTTAACTTTTTTGTGTGTGTTTATTCTCCTGCAGCTTTCACTCAGAACTCTACAACTTCCAAAACAAAGCCCACTTCAGTTCCAGGTAACAATCCCTTTTCTTCCTTGTGTGCTTCAACAGCCTGTTGGTGGAGCCAGTGAGTTTAAATAGTTTTAATCATCAGTCCTCTTCTGCACATGACATGTCCTCACACGCACTGGAAACCATCACTGCTCTCTTTCCCATCAGTTAAAGATGAAACCTAATCATGAAGTAATTAGAAAACGTTAGTCCCTCTCTTAGCTGAGTTAATTTTTTTTGTACTACATTTTACAGCTCTGCTAGAAAGAGAAAAAAGCAAAGTACTGAAGACAAAAAATGTGATGATGTGCAGCCAACCTAAATTTCCTCTGAGAGTCATTTCACTGAAATATTCAGAAATACTATTTGAAATAAAGTCAAATATCAGAAAGCATCTGCAGTCTAATGGGAAGTAAAGATATATGGACTTGGCAAGGATGAAGAGCTAATATATTCTGGAGAAAAAAATATGATACAATAAATGGAGTCATGCATTTGAATAGCAGGAATAATGACTATAAATATTAGAAACCATGTAGTTGAGTTGAAAAGAAAAAGAGTCTTGAGTCACCACTTATTGCACAGTATTTTTTTTCGCCATCCACAGTGACATCCATTCCATCTGTGACAAAAACAACCAAAAACACCACCAGAGCAACTTATACCTGGGGTAAGTAAAGTTTTTTCCTGTTACCTGAAACGCCACAGGCGTAGCTGTTTTCTTGTTATCTCATGGCTCAGTGACAGTATCACAATTCCCCGTCTTCAAAACAAAACCCATGGTGGAGTGGTGGAACAGAGCACCTCACTTCCCCTTTAGTCACCAGATCAATGCTTGATTGTGCCTTATGCAAAAGGGGATAAGATACGTGTGTCATCATGCTGTGCTGGCTTCCCATAGATAGGCATTTGATACGCCATCAAGAGCATGTCTGCAGAGCCAGTGGATCTGTCATTCCATCACTGACAGATGATCCCTGATGATCCACTGCCTTTTTTTTCTTCCTGTATATTTCTCCAGTTCAACAGTCAGACTTGAGTCAATAATTTCCTCTTTTCTTATGTTGTATAGATGAAAGATGGAATGAGGGTTTCACCTATGGTAAGAAAAACCTCTGTGGATTTGTTTTTGATTTGTGTGTATACTTATAGATTGTGAGTAAGTTTTTGTTTCATACATCCCACGTGCAGACTATAAGTCCCTGCGATTGGCCGGACTTGTCATTGCTGCAGTGCTCTTCATCTTGGGCATTATGGTCATCAGCTGTAAGTATAATACATGCCGGAAACTGCTATGTGTACCCATTTCTGTTTTGGCAAAACTAGACTCACGCTTCTGCTCATCGTTGATTTCAGGTGGGAAGTTAACACGACTGCCCAGGTGTCACAAGAAGTCATCAAAGTCAGTATTTTGACCTATAGCCTTTATCTTACACTAGCTATTGGTAGTTTTCCATTTGTGCTTGTGTTTAAAGAATTGAGAACTAGCTGTGAAAGTGATACAGCCAGAAACACGCTCGTGTTTGTTCCATGCAGCTTTGAAACTGCACTTAAAGGATCTGGGTATTACAGATCACAAGACAGTGAATGATGCACGGCTAGTGACTACTCACTTCAGAGTAGTCAGCGCAACACAACATAGACTAGGATTTCTGTGATGATTTATGAATCAAAAGGATTCCAATTGAGCAATTTGTTGAGTAAAACCAGAACACACCAACAGCATGTAACATCAACAAATTACGTTACGCTAACTGTTTTTTTTCTCCTCCAAAATTTGCTTCCCGTGTTAGCAGCAGTTTTAATCCTATTTTAATTCACTGTTTTGTTTAGGTCTTATCGAGTGGTCCAAGGTTAAGGAATATGCGACAGAGGCAAGGAGCTGCAAGCTACATACCAGTACCTTACCAGGATAAGAACACTGAACACCTGGCAGCATGTGTTTGTATGTGGACTGAATGTTGCATGCTTCTAGGTAAATGTCATGGAGGACTGGTGAATGAACCAACAGAATAAACGATTTGCACTGACAAAGGGGGTGTAATAAAGGGGGTGTAAAAATAAAGAAACTGGGAATCATCACCAGTTTTATCCATGCATTTTCTTCCCAGAATGAAATATTGCACTAAAATGTCAGATATCTCTTAAATAAGGTGGTTCATATCTGAATCACATTAGCCATGAAAAAGTGTTCAGTCTGACAACCTTTGTTTCTTGCCTTTGGCAGTTCCTCACATAAGATTATCATTAAAGGTTATCAGGAATAACTCCACATTTCATGTTTGCTCATCTCCACCAGGACTTTTCACAGATTTTTGAGGATATAACATATGAGCGGGTCACATCTTGCCCTCTTCACTGTCAATCCAACAAAACCATATGTTTAGTAAGAGTGTCTAAGCCTCTTAGTGGCTCAATGCTTGCGAGTAAAGCCCCAGATTAAACAGCATCTATTGGCACATTATCTTTGCATCCATATGGCTTCTGAATTATGCAAACAGAAAGAGAAAAATCAAGCACACTGTATGACACATTTAATGTGAAAATAAACAGTCTAGAACTCAGAATAGCTACACAAAATACAGCAGTTTTCCCAGGCTAATTGCTGTCAGCAGAAAAATCAAGGTAACTGCAGCTGTGCAAACGGAGCCAATTAAAGATATACAGTCACACAGTTTGTTTACTTGGAGATATCAGGACATCTTTATTCTTATAAACCCAGTCAATGTCATTGACATAAAAATACATAAATCTGGAAAGAAAAGTGCATATATGAACATGAGTATTTAACATGAAGTTCAAATGTTTTTATTTCTTCAAAGATTTTTATTTATTTATCTATTTTACATACAAACAGATTTTTGGCTTATAACAGAGTCCCAGCCCTTAATGTCACCTTTCAACTTAACGGGAAAAGTAAAAACTATTCAGCCAAATATTTGTTTATCTGAACAGAAACAAAGCAGATTCATATCCCCGTAAATACTTAAAATAGGCTATATTAGTATTTAAAAGAAAAAAGAAAAAAAAAGGAAAAATTGCAGATCATGTTCTGAGTACTAATTGAGGGGGAAATAAAAGAGCTCCACATAACTAAAACATTTAAATCTTAATAGCTACATGAATTGCATTTACAGGACAGGAGTAGTGTTGGGATTTACATAATGAAGAGTCAAAAAGGCATTTGGTCACAAATGCAAAGTTGGATGGACTGACTCTTCCATTAAATGTCTGCACACTTCTGTTCACCTTATACATTTCAGAAAATGCCTTTAAAGTGCAGACTGCTACACTCTTTACCACACAATCATACAGTGAGACTTGGAGTACGTATAAGAACTATCCGTCCAAAAAAGAAGTTACCACCTGGTTGGCTTGGGCTGACCTTAGCTGGGTAACTACTGGGTTAAGCCATGCTGTGAATCCAGCCCAAGAAAGAAAAAGGAAAAGAAATAAATAAATGGTGCTCCCACAACCCAAATACTGAGTGACCAGCTTTTACTTATAAATGTTTTTTTCCCCTCTTACCTTTCTCTGATGTCACAGATATATTCAAGGCAATGAGATGACGAGGGAAAAAAATAATAATAAACTATTTGAAGCAGTCCAACTCAGTGAACAAGAGCCATAATCAAAGCTAACAGGTGGCGTGCTACTATGATTGTTTTTTTTAAAACAAAGCAGTGTAGATAATGAACAAAATTGAAATGTTTTATGTAGTTTCTCGTTTAGATCAAAAATGTCATCTGCTTGAAATGTCAATAGTTAATGAAGGCTTACAGGGCAAAGAAATATTTTTGCCGTAGGTGTAGTCCTTAGAAAAAGTAAAACAAATGCACAAAAAATAATTCCATAATTTCTTCAGCATTAATTGGACAGCATAATCCAAGATGGCGCTAAACCAATAAACCAGAAAAACAGATGACTGGATCACACCCAGGGTTTGTCCCCTTTTCGGTAAGTTGAAAAATTAGTGGATAAGCAAAAGATTATGTTGCTTTGATACACCCCATGCTTTTAAAAGTGGCCAAAGTGTTCATGTCCTTTTATTTCCCATAACAAAAGAAAGGCTTTCATTCTTGGCTGATTGCTTTTTGTCATATTTAGGGATGTTGTTGGCATACCCCCACCCCTCCCTAATCATGCTACTTCATTCAATTTTTCGTCCTGCTGGCGTGAAAGGCATAAATCTAACTCTACAGCATTCAGAGAGCCATTTACAACTTGCTAAACTAAAATGAGAACCTTTCAAAATGAAAGAGGGGGAAACGAAAGCATCATCATTCATGGTGGTTGATTAATATGCATCACTGCATGAAAGTGTATTCAGTAGCCATATGCATTCATTTCGGGAAAGATGGGAAACCCGTGCCACTCCCCTCACTCCACCCTTTTCCAGCTGAACTGTCTCTTGCTCCCTAATGGGCCAGAAACAGGGGGTGTCAGACAGGTGGAAGGAAAAATAAAGTGAGCACTGAGCTGGCTTCGTGTGGCTTGACTTGCTTTGTCTCACTCAATGGCCATTTTACAGACAGGTCTGCTCCACATCCAGTATTTTAAGAAAATACAGTTTCACTGCATAGCTGGCAGAAATAATTTTCTTTTCAACGGCCTCAAAAAAAAAAAAAAAAGGGGGAAGAGGGGGGGGGGGGGGGCTTGTGCTAAATGATCAATTTTAAAGAAAGCAGCTTCAAGCCATACAGTGAGCCTTTGATTTGGATTCCTCAAATAGAATCCAATTAGAAGGTTTGAATGTGTTCCAAATGTCTCAGGCTAAACTGTGTGTATATGGAGTACAAAATAGGAAGGGACGACGACAAAAGCATACAATGGCCTAAAGAAAAACACAGCATACGTTTCACTTGTACATGAGATTGTGTTGGAGTGGGCTAGCGAGAAGTGAGCAGTGAAAAGCAGGCTGTTGTGCAAAGAAGTTTAACTGTCCTGAGTCAGAGTAGGAGATAGCATAGCCTGATGCATTGCTCCTCTTAGCTTTGTGGTATATGGCTGCTGTTGTCAGGAACTAGATGGCCCCTTTCTGGTCCTGCTCTGTAGGTACTGAGTAAATCCTGTGGACAGAAGGAGACGACAGGGAACAGAAGAGGGGTGCAGGGTGGAGAGGTAAGACAGGGGAAAAAAGCAGAACTATGTCAGATATTTTTAGGTTCTTTCTCAGTTGTTGGAGGAAAAACAAAAACCCAAAAGCATCCCTGTGTGGCAGAATTCAGGAAGCCGTGTGTCTGCCTCATGCTGCAGACTTGACAGGTGTTCTGTGACTGCATCATCTCAAAACACCGCTCATCCCCAGGTGGGACTTATAAACCTGGCAGGGAGCTGTTGATCCAACAAGCTAGAGGTTGCTGTGTGATTAAGCCTCTTTTCAACAGAGCGATCATTCAGCACCAAACACTGCTGGAGCTGACTGCAGCCCCGCGAGGCAGCCACTAATCCTACACAGGAATTTAACCCTTTCAGATTGACTACGGCGTCTGCTCTGTAATGCTGCCCAAAAAAATCTTTGGTCATCCAAATCAGTCTGCGAGGTTATTCAATTTTACTGCACCTCCGAAGCAAAATAAACTAGTTTGCAAAAACCCCTCCAACAGCAGATCAGCAGTTAAGTAAAGAAGGTAGGACGAATCCAAAGAGTGTCACTGTGTAAAACTGGTTTAGGCTGTTTGTCTGCTGTTGGCTGGCTGTTCACAACTCAGGTCATGCTTACTCAGTTGTTTCACTTCTAAGTACAGTTGTGTGGTCATGACTCAGTTGATGTGGTAAGCTTTAGAACACGCTGGGTCTTGTCCTTTTCGGTCAAACAGACCCAGTGGCACTGACTTTGAAACTATTGTTTCGTTGATAGGTGTGGAGAGAGCACTAGAAGCTGTGGAGGACTTAAGTTGTCATACTAATTGTTGTACAAGTCCAGATGAGCCCAAATGGGTGGATGCTAGTTATGTTTATAGCTCATGACTGTTTTTGTCTGGTTCTGTTGTTTATTATTTGGGAGACGTAATGCAGAATGAAAACGGAGAAGAAAGACTTCAACCCAACAAACTAGTTCTGCTATAAGGAAGCTGGTGGAAGGTGAAACTGAGTCCTTTAAAAGCAAACTGATGAGGACAACAACAAAATGTGAGCTGCTCTAGTTAACTGTGAAAGTGAAAAAAAAGAAAACTTAAAAAAAATGTTCAAAACTGATAGAATTATAAATGGTAACTATTTACTTACCCTTGCTGTCGAATGTTCATCTGCCGTCTTGCCAACATTACAGCTGAAAGAAGAAAAAGTCATGACTCCAGGAAAGAAAAGCTTATATTTGCTTAGGTGCTAGCAGCTTTACAAGGCACACAGGGTCACATAGATTCCTGGCAAGCACTGAAAGGTAGTAATTTTTTCAACTTTGGGAAGGTAAATTTTGCGTTTGACAACAATACATCCTAATAAAACACAGAACACTTACCAACTATTGCTGCGACGGAAAGAGTCAACACTGTGACAGCCACAATGATGACAATCATGGTAATCTGATCTAAACACAAAACAAGGTACGGTCAGCTGGAGTTCAACATATTACATGCTAAAATAAACGGTGTCCTTGATCTGGTTCATTAGAATTTATGCATGCCAAAAACTTCAATCAAAACCTTATAAAAAGGTAGACAATGAAAATAGTCTTACTGGAGGCTTCATCCGTGCCTTTAGTTTTATCTGCATTTGTCTCATGCACACCTAAAAACAAAAAGAACAAGGTAACCGTTAGACAATTCAGTTCAGTCTTGTTTACACGTGCCATCAAAGACCCAATTACACCGGAAGGCTCATTATATCTTTACCTGAATTTGACATTTCTCATATGTAATAACTGTATGACTGCTAAATTTGAAGCATAATGCACTCAGGTCTACAAACAGAGCGAGAAAGTGAACACTCTTGTAAGAACTGCAGCAGTCTGCACAGAGGCAGCATCTCAAACAGCAGGGGAGCTGCATTGTTGCTCTAAACAGATCTGTAATTCTATCAAATGTCCATCGCAGCGAGGATGGGGAGTGACGGAGAGGGGGTGCTAACGTTGATTAGATGACAGACAGGATGATAGCCATGTCAACATGTTCATTGGCCTTTCAGCGGTATCCACAGGGCCCCTCAAGAGAACTAATTGATTCCATTCAAGACTGATGGTAAGAGGGAGGTAAAAGCCAGCAGGACGCAGCTCTCAGGAACGTCTCATTGGACTGGAGCTCCCTATGCACAATACTGACTTACTGAGAGCAATTATGGGTCACAACCCTCCCATACTGTCTATTGGGCAGTTGTCGATGCAATTCTTGAGCTTATGACACAGACGTTACACCACACTGCGAGGATGCACTCTGTTGTAAGAGTAATAAACTCACCAAGTTTGCCAATTAAATCCTCATCATCAGTGTCTGAAATTAAAGGAGAAACAAAAATGTATATAAACACAGAACAAAGACATATATTCCCATTGTAAGTACTTTTAAACATTAGCCGTGAAGGAAGTCCTCGATTGCGTTATTGAAAAACTGTGTAGACACCATGTTGTAATGTTACAGCAACTAACGCTATTGATTAGAGATTTTATGAAATCACTATTAGCCCAAAAGGAATACAAACAAAAAACAAGAATCAATATTACCATTACAGTTTAAACTGTCATAAAGTATCCTTTCATAGGCGTTGAAGTTTGGCTTGGAAGGAGCTGCCTTGCTTCAATTTTTACCAGTAATTCAAGCTTGTGGAAAGAAGTGCTAGGGTCAGTTACTAGAAGTTAACTGACTGAAGACAAATGTCTGGTTGTGCAAATTCTTCCATCAAATCAAGTCAAAGAAGGTGGCAAAAGCCAAAGGAAGTGTGCCATTTGTGTTTCCTCAAGCTAAATTTAAATCATTATCAAAAGTAGACAAAATGATTACCCTTTTCCCCAATCACTGTACTCAGGTGTGTGACATTTTTAAATAAACATTTCATCAGCACAATAGCTATTTTTATGTCAAATTGCAAAGTATTATTTGTTATTGTGTCATATGGGTCTGGTCTCAGCTGATGTTCATACTTTAAGTGGGCGAAAGAAAAAAAAGGTCTGTTAGAGCATCAGCTGTGCTGATCTCTAATCTGCCGTGGCGCAGGAACCAGTTGCCATTTACTTTTCGCAATACTTTGAAACTAAGGAATTGCTGAGTTTAATTTGTGTTTAAGTATATTTTTGAATTTACACAAATATAGATCACATACCATCAGATGCAGACCCTTCAATGTCTCCATAAACAGCTGCAAATACTACAAAGATAGGATTATTATATAGCCACAAGATCAAAAATAAAAGTAAGGAAGACAGTTTTCAAAATGTTTGCATGCACAGAAATCATCTAAACATAATTTGAACATGCTTCCTTCAGTGTAATGGCATATCATATAAAAAGCAGAACACTTTTTTCTTCATGATCATTCTTTTTTTGGATGGTTGTATAATTCTGCACATGTGAGGAAAAGGGTTTGGTGCACGGATTCAGAAATGATCATTAGATGTTTATCACCATCCAAAGCAGAAGAAATAAGAACGTACCGGCAGAAGCTGGCAGCAGTAGCAGCAGACACAAGAACAGCAATCGCATCATCTTCAAATGCTGAGGGGAGAGGTAAACATTTTAAAAATTAAACTCAAGTTAAAAATATCTACTATTGATATTCACAGAATGAAATCTTCATGTTTTGGTTTGGAGATTGTCTGTGGAATGGAATGGAGAATATCATTGGGGTCCGGCACTTGGGGTTTTGGGATACTCTTTGCTAGTTAGTGGAAAACTACAGTTTCCAAGCAAACCTGTCCTTGCACTGCTTTAACTGGTTTTTAAGAACATGTAAGCACATCTAAAATGTAATTTGAGAAGGATGGCAGTAAGAGGGTCAGAATGCTCTGCAGAGCATTATTTCCCATAATGCTCAGCAGAAAAACGGTCCAAGAAAAACAACAAGTGTCAACTAAACATATTCCCCTCCCCATGACAACCCTGGGTGTTGTGCCAGTTAAGAAAGAAAATATTCCAGGAAGATTCTAACTGGAAAAACAAAACTCCTTTTTATTCACAGTGTCCTGATAAGTGTGAAAGCCATGCTTTGCAATTTGCAAAGGAAACAATGGGCTCAATCTAATTTTAGATTAACCTTACCTGTCAGTTTTATCTGATCACAAAGACTCAGAAACACAGGGGCTTTTATTTCTTTTTGTGTTTGATAGTGTATCGTCACACTTAAGGAAAAATATCAAAACTTCCTCATGGCACTGGGCCCAAAGCAAACCCTACCGCGAGTCCCTTTTACCAGCACATAAATGTGAAACACAGATGTTCATGGCACGCAAAACAAAGCGCCAGCTGTTCCCAACACAATATGGATGTTGATATTTTTAAAATGGGAAATCATGGGAATGACCTCTCTTCCAGTTTAGATCCCGGATGAAGCCTCCTTGTTCAGATTTGGCTATTGAAACTGGCCTGGTAGCAGGAACCAGTGGTCACCCATGCCGTGTTTGATACAGAACAAAGTGGGAACTCTGTCATTGACCTTTATTCCACATGTTACACTAAAGGAGACACTTCATTGTTAGCTAAGGACATTGTGTCCCTGTTTCCTCCACTGTTAACGACTATAAGGAAACTACTGAAGTGACCTGCGTTGTGGAGGTGAAGCTTCTCATGCTGGGTCCTTTGGGGACATCAGCAATCCTCAAGGGTCCCTCTTAATATTCCCACAAACAAGGGGCTGCGGACTGCTTCTCTCTCATTTCTACTAGTGAAGGAAATGGATCATGGTCTTAACAATGTCAAGTAGGTTTGTAGGGAGAAAGAAAGATGAAGAGTAAAAAAGTAATTATTGACAATGTAACTTTCTGCTTGCTGTTAGGTGTGACAAGAAGACGGCTGTTTCTGTATTTTTGTGTTTACATAGACACGGGTACAAACCAGGCAAAGCCATGAGCTTGTCGCCACGCTAAAATAGCATCAAGATCTATGCTAGTTGATAATAGTAGGAGAACGATATTAATCATACAAGTGAGACTGATTGGAAAGGGATTGTAATGTGTGGGCTGTTCTGGCCTCTTGAATAGCTGAAGTAAATCTCCAAACACATCCAACCTAAGAAGCTGCAAATAAAAGCCCCTTCTGTATCCAATTTGCTTCGGGTGATATACTAAGCTGATCCAATTTGCAAATATTTATCAACTCAGTTCACTGCTTCAGTATCCAAATAGCTCCTGACGCCTGTATTATTTTTCAAATTGGGTAATATATTCTTGTACATTTGAATTTGCGCTTTCGTACCAAAACCCAGCGTGCGACATAATAACGGGCAGCATCCTCATAAAGCAGACATGCCAGTTGCCTTCTGGTAAGAAGATCATAAACAGTAAATGAAGAAATCAACAAATCATGAAGTCTCTGCGGCAACACTGGAATATTAGTTTTGCTCCAGGAGTGGGGGCCAGTCTTGTTTCTCTTCCACTTCCCTAGTGCAGTAATGCCGTTTTTCCACTGACGGGATCGACACACAACATCACACCTTTTTTTGCAATGATGGCAAACCTAAATCTGGCGTATCAGGGTTCATTTCAAACTGACGTCCACCCCATCCAACACAATTGTTAACAAAGTTAAGTGTGTCAATGCAGAAGCTATGGACAATCTTTTTCTTATCAGCTAGCAGAGATAACAGCGCTCCACTCCAACACTGAACCACTGACAGGACTGACATTACTGATAACAATCACAGGCAACTGAAGATATTGGAATTCCTACAGCTGAGAATGTTAACACAAGAAAGATATCAGGAAAAAAATAGAAATGCGAGAGGCTGATTGAACATAAATCAAAACACAAATGAACTAGCTTTAAATAGAGTAAACACACTGATGAATAGAAAACAATAAGAAGAAAAAAAGCACCCAGTTCATTTGTTAGTAACTTGATTCTGGTGTAAAAGTGGATACCTGTAATGTTGCTTCAAAATTAGTCAGCTCAACAAATGCCATTTAAGTGGGCTCGAAGCAAAGGTTTTTGCTCTGGCAAGATAAAAAACTGAAAACGATTCAGAACTCACCTCAGTCGGTGCTGTGTATACCACTGAGCCACCCAACACTGACAAACAGTAAGTAGAACTACAGAAGTACGGAAGACATAAAGCAGTGGGTCAGGGCTGTCAACAGAAACAACCGGGAGGATATGAGTGCTTCTCTGACAATGACACTGACGCTTTGAATACATATCCTGTGTTCGCCTGCTTCCACTGCATGTGTGTAAAAATATACCGAAAACACACACATACACACACGGATGTGACTATAAAGCTGCACCGATACGCTGGAATTTTAAACCTCCACTGCAATAAAGTACAACCGGATTGAAGACACACAGGACCGAGGGCACGTACAGCTCGGGTTTGCTTTTTATCAGATGGAGACAAATCTGCCCTTCCTTGTTTTGTTAACAACACTATCACCAGCCCTGTCCCAGTCACTCCGAGGGATTTGCAAATAACAATATCTGATACATGGTCACCACCTCATTCCACAGAACTGCACAAAACAACCCAACTGGTTGAGGATATGAACAGTCAAAATTGGAAGGTGCCACTTAAGCTTTTCCAACCTCTGGGCAACCCCCTTGATTAGCAGCAGTTTTGCTTGTCTCTTCTCAGGGTTGAAATGCCTTCCTCAGCACTGTCAGTGGCATGGCAATTACGCACAGGCTCACGCATCACACAGGAAGTGAGCTGTAGGTTTCTGTGGTGTAACAAGCGGGAATTTACCTAAAGCATCCGCTCCGTCGCGAAAGGTATCGTTATTACATTAAACAAATTTGAAATTGAATCTTGGAGATGTGGAAATATATCACTGAGTACGAAAAAAAAATTGGACAAAGAGGAATTGACGGATTAACCCACAAACATCTGCGAATTGTAGCAACAGGGATGTCATTTTGTATACTAAGGAGATTGATCCATATACAGGCCCAAAGCAAAACGTGTATTCTGCTGGAGGATTCAAGCTTTTTAAAGCCATTCCTGCGTCCAGTTGCAGGATTGCGCACCGACTGACCCACCAGGCGTGCCACGGCGCGCAGCCCGGACAAGTTTTCGGCCGCTGAGTGGCCTACATCACTTAAACAAATGTATTCTCACCAAAAAGGGGACTTCACAGCCACCTCATCTAGTGCAGAACGTGCCCCGAGATAGTCGTTTCGCGAGTCGAGTTTTTTACGTTCGCGGAAAATACCTTCGCCTGTCTGAGCGAGACAGCCTCTCAAGACCGTTTCCTGAAACCGGTGAAGCACCCCCCAAAATGCCAAATATGACTTTTTGTATTTCAAAATGAGTTGTCTGAGGGGTTAAGGATTTAGCGGCAGTCGGGCTGTAATAAGTCAGTGATGTCAATTGATCGAAAACGATGACGTCAGTGCCGTGTGCGTTTTCCTGAGCACAGGTGTGCAAACAGGCCTTCAGCCCAGCTGTCACCGTCTTGTTTTCCCCAGAGAACCGGTCGCTAAGTGGTGTCCAAGACTTCCAGATGACCAACAATTTATCAGTTGTAACAAAAACTATATTTACATAGTTTCTCTGTCCGTGCAAGTTGTCATATGGGGTGCTAAATTAGTTTGCTCTGCTGCTCCAGCTGTGCTCTGTAAGTGGAGGGTTTACAAGCTTTTATTTGCAGGTGCAGGGCTTTAATTAGCTCAGACTCAAAGGTCACTTTTGCATAAACACCAGAGTAGCCGGGTGAGTTTTTCAGCATTTTAGTATTTATTCTCACTTATGCTGTTCCTCTTGTTTTGGTCTTTCTCTTTTTTCTCCCTTTCTTTTCCAACTTTAGAATGAGTTACACGTGTTAATGTTTCACCCCTAGGATAAATAAAAGATCCTAATCTGAACCTTGGTTAATAATTAGTTTCTTGAGAAGTTTTATCTGCACCACCCCATCAGTTTCCAATCTACCTCCATTAAAATTAGATTAAAATTATCTCATTATTCTTGCTTTTTTACTCTAACTCACAATCCAAAGAATAAAAACTTGCAGCTAAAAGATGCTTAATAGGCAGTATTTTAAGCAAAAACTTGCATAGAAATTGTCTGAAATTTGAATTTACCTTCAAAAGAGCTGTTGTTCAGAGCTGGTTCAGTACACCACACTGGTATGTTGTTTGCTCTCAGATTCCTTCTCTCGTGGAAACAGCCAGAGTGTGCGCACATTACTACAGGTGAACTCGGTCAAGAACTAAAAACTGTTTTTCATTGGCTGCTGAACATGAAATCTGACACCCCGGCTCTTATCTGTTCTACATGCAGACTTGCTGTGTATGCTGTGAAACCAGCTGTACAACTGGATGTACAGTAATCGCATTAGTGTCGCTGTGCTATTTGCTATCATAAAGTCATCTGCTGCTGTCAGGATCGCTCATCTTTTAATCATGTAATTACTTACTCAAAATACGCTTTTCCTGCAGGTGTAACATGGGAGTATAGTAAGATATTAAGTTTTTTTATATTGAATAAAAATAAGAGTGACATTTGGTTTTCTCCATTCAGGCTTGTTTTAGATACGTAATGGAGAAAAGCTTATGTTTCC